ATCATGTATGCCTAATGTCTGAGACGGGTAGACAACAGTAAATATATCATTGACGACTACAACAAAAATATGAATCAATTTTTTAACATTTTTAAAGACAATTTGTTACCAATTTTTTTAATGCAAATGAAAACATAAAATATTATTCTCTGATATGATTTATTATGAATTATAAAGATCGACAAAATAATTATTTGTTTTATTATTGTAAATCAATATGAATTTTAATATGAATTTCTTGTAATAAATTTTTATTGATTTTTATTAACAATAACAATACAGTTGTATAAGTGTAAAGTTGTTCAATATTTAGGTACTCAATAAAAAAAATTTTAGATTTGAGACCGATTTTGATGGCTTTTAATGTGAAAGAAACGTTAAAATAAAAGTTTAAGATGAAAATAATTTTTAAAAATTTGTATTTGATTAGTTTAATGTAAAAAATGTATAAAATGACCAAAAAAGTGCTTTAAAATGCAATCAATTATCAAATTTAATATCAAAAAATGTAAATAATTAGAATATCTATCAATTATTGTTGTATTTGATAATTATTTTCATAAAAGAATTATTAAATAACTACAAAAAGATTAAATGGACGACCCCCCCCCCCCAAGATTTTTCGAGAATTATGAAAATTTCACCCCGGTTTACCCCCCCCCCCCTAAATCCAAAACCTTGCTTAACCTTGGTATATATATATATGTATATACTACTATGTAATATCATATTATATTATTATTCACATATTATTCACACTAATATAATATGTGAACCCAGGTATGGGTTATATCTAACTGTCCACTTATTATTATTATAATTATCTACAATCTACAGCACGTATGCCTAATGTCTGAGACGGGTAGACAACAATATATTTCATCGACAACAACATAACAAAAATATAAATCAATTAAACATTTTTTTAATGGATCTATTATTTTCAACAATAAAAATATATATATATATAGACATCCTGTTATTTAGGAGTTTTTTTTAAAGACAATTTGGTAACACTTTGTTTTAATGCCAATAAAAAGCATAAATTATTTTCCGAAATGATTTTAATTGAAATTGAATTATATAAAGATCGACAAAATAATTATTTAGTTTTTTTTGTTGTAAATCAGATTTTAATATGAATTTCTTGTAATAAATTTTTAATGTTTTTTATACAGTCATATATATATATCAGGGTTAAGTAAGGGGGGGTAGGGGGGTAAGGCCAAAATACCCCCCCTAAGATCGAGAAATTGGGATTTTACCCCCCCAGACTTTTTGACCAAATTGAAAAAATTGTCGCTTAAAAACGAGGAGAAATGACCCCCCCCTAAAATTTCGGCGCCGAAAATTTTTTTGAAATTTATAAAAATTTTAATTTTAGTTGATACTATTTTAGTAAGTGTTTTTATGTTTTTAATATTTATAAAAATCTAATTATTGATTAAAAATAGTTAAAATAACGTTAAAAGTCATCAAAAAATAACATTATTTTAATTAAAATAAACTAAAAAATTAAAAATTACCTATTTGTTGAAAAGAGTAATCATATTACAATTTAAATATAAGTTTAAGAAGTTAATAAAACAATAAATACTTGTTTTTATTAATAATTTTTAAATTTTAAATAAAAAATTTAAAAATATTTTAAATTTTGTACTTAATATAATTAAACTTTAACGAAATTTGAGTTAAATAAGTAGTATTCAGTCAGTATTTGTATAAAAATAAAAATATATAACAAACTAAACATTAAGTATTGTTTAAAAAATTAATTATGTTAAAAGTTAAAAATTATTAAAATACTAAAAATAACTCATAGTGTATCATTAATGCTTTTATCAACTATTTTTAAATCTTAAATACATTATTTTATTTTTTTTTGTTAAAATTTAAGTTTTTATTAATTTTAAAAAATTTTTTTTTAAATTTAAATTTTTGTTAATTTTTAAGTTTTTTAAGTTTTTTTTATATTTTTGGAAATTTTACCTATTTTCCCGGGAATTTATACGGGAACTTGTGGGAATTTTATTGAATTTACATGGGAATATTTGGGAACTTAAGGAATTTTTAGGGAATTTTCTCTAGACCCCCCCCCTTGATTTTGGATTTTTGAAAAAATTGCCGTTTAAAAATGCAATAAAAATCTTACCCCACCCAATACCCCCCCAAGATTTTTTGAGAATTTTGTAAATTTTACCCCGGTCTACCCCCCCCCCCCCTAAAATCCAAAACCTTGCTTAACCCTGATATATGATTAATATTTTGGTTTATTAACAACAAAAAAAAGAAAGAAGAAAAACTTCGATAAGTTTTAAACAATTAATTTAAAAAAAAAAAAATTAAATACAAACTATCCATCCGTTTGGATCAAAATGTAAATCAAATAAAAACTTTTTTTGTAAAACATCTGTAATTTCGAACCATTGATTGAAAATAAAAATAAAATTTGGACATTAAAATGATTTTTTATTAATTAATTTAATTACAATTTCATAGATATATAATTGTCTTATTATTATTGATTTTAATTAATAATATCAACACAACAGTAAAGTTGTTGATATGATTTGGTACCCAAAAAATTTTTTTTTATATTTGACACCGATTTTGATGGCTTTAAACGTTGAAACAAAACGTTAAAATAAAAGTTTAAGATAAATATATAATTAAATTTACAAATATATATAACAATATACAACAATAACAATAACAAAATACAACAACAAATAATTAAAAATAATTACAAAAATTTTTTAATTAATAAAATATAGTAATAATGTATCAAATTAGGCGTGGTTCACATATTACGTTCGAACTTGAAGGGAGGGGTAGTGATCTTAAGAACGTTCGCATTTAGATAATATGGTATTTTTAGTAGTGGGGGGGGGGAGGGGTTAGCAGTTATGGAAATGTGAACGTAATTTTTTAAAATAACTACATAGGGGAGGGAGGGGTCTAGATTTCTTAAAAAGTGCGAACGTAATATGTGAACAATCCCATTATCAAATAATAGTAAAATACAATATAATAGGATTTATTAAATATAATAGTTTTCGGATGTTTTTTGAATATATAATATAATTTAGTGGACAACCTGTCCCTCCAAAAAAAAAACGGTTAGTTTTTGATTCAAGCGGTGACAACATTGAGTTGTCTTAAAACTTTAGTCTTCCTGATAGAGTAGGCAAAACCAAGTGATGAGTTGACAATCAAGAAACTGATAATCACAGCAAATACGGTAAATACAATGTCAGCCGTAGTCATATTGCGGACATAGATTGAGGCCAACACTATACCGATAAGCATAAGCACGCCAGCAGTTATTACATAACCCATAATGATGTTGACGTGCAGTTTAGTTTTACTACCCCACCAAATGGCACCGACAATGCCCACAATTGCTACGACCACTATAGCTAACGAGTAAACTACTAGAACAGACGTCTGTATTTTGAGGGGTTCGCCGCCCAAACCATTACCCGATATCATAAAATAAAGGGCAAACAGTATGACAATAGCGTTGAGTGAAACCAATGTATATCTCAATACACGAAATATTAAGTTTATATAATCTATTATAGATTCAGCCATTTGTTTGTTACTATTAATAATATTACGGTAATAATAATAAAAAAAATATTTATCACTTGAATCACACTTTAAAATACAGTATATATAAGTAAACGATTTTTTTTAACGATAATAATTAGACAATTAACTTAATTTTTATATTTAAAAAATTTTTTTTAGCAATCTTGTAGTTGTTTTGTTTAGCACACAATTTGTTTCAATAGATTTATTTAATGGGTTTATATATATACAGTATATATATTAATCAACAATTTTTATAAGTGTTAAGTGTATTAAGATTTGACTAAATACGGCAAAAATGTTTGACAAAAAAACAAACAATTATTACATAAATATTTATCATAAAGATATTTTGGGTTTTATTATTAGTAGTGATGTTATTATTATTATTACACAAGTTTTGCTTAAATAAAATGACGCTTTCATTACATGAGAGACCTGTTTGTATAAAAGACTTGAGGCGTTGGCAATGATGGCATTGAGTACCACAACATATATAATATATATATATATATATTATATACTGTATATATATATACAAAAGATAAATTTTTTTTCAAAAAATAAAATAAAAAACTGATTATGAATTTTTACATTATGTTTATACAGAATAATTTAAAACATGTATATACAGTAAAAACAATGGCAAAAATTTATTTTTCAAAAAAAAACTGTGTATTTATTAAACCCATAAAAAATCGCTATAAAATTAGGCTTTTAATTAACACATTAAGTTTACATATATATACTGTATAAAGTGTTGTGTGTTTTAATTATAATAAATTATTAAATGATATTTAATATCTCTCTAAAACAACAACAAAAAAATACAGTGAAATTAGGTGTTGAGTTATTTGATAGTCAGACAAATAATTTTGTTGATTTTAACTTACTTTTTATAATAAAAAAAGTTTCAATATTTATAGCAATTGAGGTGAAGGTTGGACACGATTTTTTAACGGTATCGGTATATACCGTATATAAGGGGAAGATATGCTATTTTATGCCTTAAAAAGTATTATTATTACTATTATTATAAAAGTGCTTTAAAATGCTAACAATTAAAGAAATTTAATATATATAATAAAAATGTAAATAATTATAATATCTAATGAATTATTCTTGTATTTAATATAATTATTTTCGTCAAACCCTTCACCACATTCCTCAACAAAAAACATAAATAAATTTTTTTTATATAATATACAAAACAATTTTTAATTATTATTAATTTTTTTATAAAAAAATTTATACACTATATTATTAAAACATAATAATAATAATAATAATAATCACATTAACAGACAATTTATTTACAGTATTTATTGTATTTTTTAATTATATAATAATTATAACAACATTTATTAAACAATTAGATTTATTTAATAATTTTATATAAAACAAATGTTTTGCCATTCATTCATTAAATCAATCAATCAAACAGTTAGTTAGTTATCAATCAAAGGGGACAGTCGTCTATTGATAATGAATCTGGAGTTCCAAGCAATCCATTGTAATCATACAGATATATACCTATCTAACAGTTGCTAACTATTTGGTTATTTAGTAATACCTATAGTAAATTTAGTAGTAGTGGGTGTGTCTGAAACACCATCGACAGCAGCAGCGGGTTTACAACGGCCTTTACGCTTCCTTTTACGTGGTATAACATTGTGTACGACATACTGGTGCCGATCTAACAGTGTTTTCCATTGAAAATCCCGATCACAGTTAGGCTGATCGCATACGTGTGGAAATGGATGTTTAAGTGAGTGTCGCTGTAGTTCGGCATTAACTGTAAACACTCGACCGCACTGTCGAAACGTGCAAACGTGTCGCTGACTATGCCATCGCATTTTATGTCTCTGTAGGCCATTCCTCAGCCTAGTCTCGAACGTACAGCCGTCGGCATTACACTTATAGATTCTATCGGTATCGGTATGTTTCTGTTCCCGGTGCCTGTCGACAACTGTCTTATTGGAACTACTATAACCACAATCCTGGCACTTGTAGACACTCTGCCGATGCTGTTTAGCCAAATGTGAGGTCAACTGTTGACCTGAGAAAAATCGTTGATCACATTCCGGACACCGATGAGGCCGGTGCTGGTGTTTGTGAACAGTGTTAATATGTTTTTCCATACCGCCCGCCGTACGCCTACGTTGGCCACAATCTTTGTACGGACATACTGACCAGGGAATCGTATGATTATTACGTATGTGTCGGTCGTGAAATTCTGGCCAAAATGTATAGTAATCGCAACTATTGCATCGGATCAGATACTCCCGATGACATTTCAGTAGATGGGCGTTCAATAGTTGGACACTTTTGAACGATTCGCCGCCGCATTTGTCGCATTCGATAATCTTGTGCGTGTTTCGCACGTGCTTTAACAGTAGGATTGCTTGACGAAATTGTTTTTGGCATTTAGGTTGACTACAAGCATAGCGTTTGGGTGCAGTCCAAACTTTGCCAACAGCGGCAGCTAACGGTGCCGCCGCTGGCGGTTCCTGTTGTTGTTGTTGTTGGGCTGTCTCTATCAACTGATGCTCAAGTAGTTCATCATTAGTAGTAGTGGTAGTCACTTGTTGTTCATTACCGGTAATCGTTTCGTTAGCATCAGCAGCGGTAGTGTTGTTGTTGTTGTTGGCATCGGATTGTTGTTGTTGTTCAACAGTTACAATACCAGTAGATCCCACTATAACTTTATTACCATCACTCAGACAAACTTCGTAGTGATAAAGATGAATATGTTTGACAAGCAGTTCGTAGGATTGGGTAGTGTATGTACACGAATCACAGCATAGACTATAGGCAGCGCTGTTGGCAGCGGAATGGCATAAGCCGTGGTGCTGTATGAATGACAGTTTGGTTCCGTCTAACAGTTCATTACATTGCAAACACTCCATCATTAGGGACTGGTTTCGGGCTTTCGCTTCCAAAACTTTATCTAATAATCAAAATAATAATTTTGATTTTAATGAAAAAAATTGTATAAAAAGTGATTTTGATTTGATTTTATATACTGTATTACCAAACGAGCTCCGGTAGTTCGGGTGCTGTCTGTCCAAATGTTCGCGCATAAAGGCCGCGAGTGTGGCGTCCGAAAACTTGTTTCGATGAGTACCGCATCCTTTGCAACGATACGAACAGTGTCGGCATATAAACTGATTAAATGCCGATACTTTAAAGCTACGGTAGGCCACAATGGGTACGGAGGCTACTGCCGGCGCCACTGTCGATGTTGTGTTAGCAGTAATGGGAACCATTAGATGTGCTTCACCACCGCTGGCACTGCCGACCGGTATCCGATAAAAGTTATTCATAACTGTATCAGTCTTATGTATTGTCTTGAAATGATCGGTCAGTTGGTCACTGCTGTCAAAACTTTTATTACAATGAATACAATGGTTGCCAGTGTTTGATGGCGTCGTCGTCGTCGTCGACGTCGGCACTAACAATATAGTACCGGTGTTGCCGTTGTTGTTGTTGTTGCTGTAAAGTGACGACGGAATTGTCAACTGTTTGCCATCTTTGGTCATAATAGTCAACGGCTGTCCGGCTGTCAGATTGGTCTCCGCTGGCGTCGTCATTGTCTTCGTCGTCACCGCTTTAGTAGTCAAACTGTTTTTGATTAGTGTCGACGCCTTTTTCGTTGACAAGCTCTTCATTGTTTTAATATAGTAGCCGACAGTAAGTCGTTGTCTAAGTTCGGCAAAATCGGTCTCGACTTTGTGAACATCGGTCAAGTGTTGGTGAAGTGGTTCAACAGCTGCAAAACGTTCGCGACAGCCGCCTTTGCCGCACAGATAAATGTTGACCTCAGGGTACGGCTGGTTACTGTCGACGCCGACGACGACGACATTGTTGTCAATATCTACTACACCATCGACTATCACTTCTTGGCTGTCATTGTCGTCCTCATCGTCTACTATAGTGATAACAGTTGTCTTCTTGTTTGTCGATGACTTTGTCTTCATCATCACTGGTGGACTTTTATCGGCAGCCAATTGAACGGCTGATTTGTTGGCAACAGCGGCGGCGGTGGCCGTCGTCTTTGTCGGCCTATCTTTGTTGACCATCTGTTGGCTGCCAATCATCGGCAGAGTTCCCGTGTTTTGGTTGAATGACTTGATTTTGTTATATTCGGCAATCAATTGGCCGCCAAACTGGCGAAACTGTTCAAACTGTGGACACCGACAGTCGGATTGCAATTTCGATGCAAACGATACCACTCTATGCATCGATTGTCTCAATGACCACATTTGCCGACACTCGGCCTGATATTTGGCCAGTTCGCTGGCCAATCGTTGATTCTCCCGTTTCAAGTCATCCATTGTGTGTGTGTGTCTTCTTCGGTAATCATTACCCGATGGCCATCACATGTTTGGTCATCACATTGTTATCGCAAAATAGTTATTGAGTTCACAGTAATTGTTGGGAAAAAAAAGTTTGTAATAATAATAACAATAATAATAATAATAATAACAAAACACATACAGTAATGATGTAAACATTGAATTATTTTTATTATTATTTAAATTTATTTATTTTTTTTTTTAATTATAAATACAATGAATAATGTGCTAAATATTAAAACAATTATTATTATTATTATTATAAATGCTATTAATATTAAACGTTAAGTTTATTAATAGAGTTTATGTAATATTTAATACATTATATCAATAATTATTTTGGATATCAATAATTGTATTTTAAAAACTTATAATTTAATTATAATTTGTATTTTTTATGTTTATTTTATTAATTTAAGGGGAAAAATAAATTAAATTTAAATACTTATTAAAAAATAGTTAATATCATAGTTATAAACATTTTAAGAGAGAGAGAGAGAGAGAGAGAGAGAGAGAGAGAGAGAGAGAGAGAGACGATAATATTGAAATAAATTAACAATTTTTTTTAAAAATTTATTTTTATTTTTATTTTCATTATAACCCATCGTTATAAATGACATATCAATTATTAATCAATTGTTTTTTTTAATAATAATAATTACAATAAAATCTATCATTAATTAGTTATCTAATAATAATAATTATAATTATAATTAATTATAATATCTACGAAAAAAAAACAAAACAATCAAATCGTCGGCCAAACCGCCAGTGGCTGCTAATGATGTCCAACACCGCCCTCCCCGTGACCACCGCCGCCATCTGACCAGTATAGCCACGGTTTATGTTGGCGATTGTGGGGTACTTTTGCATACTGGCGGTCATCCCATCGGGTATAGAACCACATCATACCGAAAGCGGTCGGTATAGTCCAGGCCAACAGTTTCATCTTCCAAGTGGCCATCAGTTTACGTTCATCAACATGTAGACCACCCATGACTTGACCGCAAGCACACACACCGACACTAGCCGTAAAAAAATAGTGACCGCAAGTGTCTTACAGTTGTTTAAAAAAAAAATCTACCGATAGATAGATAGCTATATAGTGTTGTGTTTGTCGTATAATAATAATAATAATAATAATAATACAAACTATTTGTGATCTATCTATCAGTGTGTTTGTAGGCACAGGGAGGCAGCACTGGTAGGCAAACAAATAAATCTGGGACCTGGATGACTTAAATTAAATAATTAAATTAAAGTATTGATAATGATAACCAAGTTTTTTTTTAATTTTAATTATACAATTTTATTACAATTAATGTTTTTTATATTATTTTTATATTAGTAGAGATATTTAAATAATAATATTATTTTTAATTATATGATATAAATATATATTTACAATATTTATTGATTATATAAATATTATAACTAATATTACTACTAATAATATAAATAAAAATAACAAAACAAATAATAATTTTATTATTAATATTATTATATAATGTATAAACAAAAATTATAATTTTAACTATATTAAACTATTTAATTTTTTAATTTTTTTTTTGTTTAATTAATTAAGTTAATAACTTACTTAATAAATTATAACAAAATAATAACTATTATTTAAATAATAATTCAGATATTTTTCATAAATTATTGAAATTTAATATTTTATTTTTAAAGTTCTATTTATATATATTATTATCTATTAATATATTGACAGTATTTATAAGTCTATAATGAATATAATATATAGTTATGCAAAATCATATCAAAATACAATAAAACAATAATTTTTATATCAAAATTAAGTTATTATTATAATTTGTTATTATAATTAATACAATATACATGTATATTGTATATGATAAACAGTATATTAATAAACAAAACAAAAAAATTGAATATTTATTTTTTTATAAACATTTATTTAGATAAAAAATTTATAATTTTAAAATATTTGATTATCAAAACAATGTATATCATAGGAATATGTATTATTTTATTTTGTTTTCAATTATTTTGTAAAAATATATTTTATAAACTAATAAACATAAATAAAATTATAGATAAACTTCAAAATTTAACATAATTGTCGTAATTTTAGGACAACTATCCATTAGTTTCTGTACATTTGTTTCGGTAAATTTCAAACTAGTATTTTCCAACTTTTCCGAAGTCATTCTCAACGATTGCAATGATTTTAGTTTTGCTAAACAATCAAACAATTGGTCGGTTGTATTAATACAATCAAAACCAATATTATGAACATTTCGTATATATTTCATCGGATTTACCAGAAAATTGTCGGTCAAATGCCAGCGATAGTTGCAAATCAATGACAGATGAGTTAGTTTTGTTAAACTAATCAACGAATTGCTGGATAATTCAAATCCATTATCACTACTATTATTGTTGTTGTAATCAATTTGTTTGATATTTCCCCAGAAAGTCAAACATTTTAATTGTAGAAAGTTTTGGCAAATAGTTTTCAATGTATGATTAAAATCATTGACCGATAAAAACCATAGATAGACAAATAGTTTTTTAATTTTAAGACAATTTGAACCAATAGTGTTCAAAACAGGTATAAATGACATATCAATAAAACAACCGAAATATGAATTGATTGTCAATTGTCTTAATTGTTTCATTTGCGATACACAACTCAGTATGTCTTTGTTGGACAAGTCGTTGGTTTTGAAATTAACTGAAAAATCTGTTAGATTTTTGCCATAAGTTTCAATGAATTTCTTGTAATTAGTTTTACTGATAGCCGAAGTCATATAAAAATCAAATTTACGTAATTTGGGAAACAATAGTCCACTGCTATTGTTGTTGTTGTTGTTATTATCATTATTGCTGAAGAGCAGCGATAGCTGATCCACGACTATCGGCGACGAATGGTTTATAAAAGAAATTTCCGATAAGTTTTGACATTTTTGAAACCATCCGCAGATAAGTGGATCAAATTGATGCAAACAAAGTGACTGTAATTTTGTAGCATATTTTGCTAACAATCGGCAAACAGTTATGACATTTGTACCGTCGGTGACATCAAACGATTTTATATTACTTCCATATTTTAGCCACAAATCATACATTTCGTTGTTTTCGTACAAATGTTGTCCAAACGGTCGGTTTCCTAACTTTTTCATTAGTTTCTCATAGTTTATCATATAATTGTAATTACAGTCAACATAGTTATGACTGTTAAACATTAGTCGCTGCCATTGTCGGGACACACACTCGTACCGAAAGCGGTCACCAAACGGCATATAACTGAGCAATAGTCCGCATAAATCATCACCAAATCGGTTCAAACTATCTCTACGATGACTGTCCGGTTCGTCCACTTTTACCATCTCTTGTATTTAAATGTCTTTGAATTAATTTGGAAGTCTTCAAACAAATAATTATTTTTTTTTAAATAAAAATTTTTTTTTGACACACTTTGACTCAAAATATTATACACAAAACTAATTTCAAATTTATAATATCGTTTACAACAACAAAAAAAGTGTTTAATACAGGTTTATTAAATTGATTTTGATATTAGTAATAAATGTTTATCATTTTATATGTATTAATACCTGTACTTTAATATTGATAGATATTTAGCGATTAGATTATCACTAATCAGAGATTAAAATTTTTGTTTGTTTGAAAAACTGATTCAAAATTCAAAAACTACAGTTGCATTAATGCATATTTGACTAAATATCATAAAAATAAAGATACTTTATATTATTATTTATTAGTTATAATTATATGTATTTTGTAGTGATTTTATAAATAAAAATAAATATAAATTTGAATAATTTATAATAAAAAAAATAAAGATTAATTTTTTCCATACAATTTTTATAAACTAATAGTTAATTTTTGTTGTCTAAATTTTTTTTTAATTAACTATTTAATTACCAAAAAAAATGACATTATGTTAGTTACTATTATATATATAGCTTTTTGTAGGTAATTATTATTTTTTAGTTATCAAATTAAAAGTAATTTCTAATAAATAACAACAAAAATGATAGAATATTATTAATTGTTTTATTAAATAAATAATAATTAAAAAATAAATAATTTAGTTTAATAATAGTTAGATTAATTAATAAGTTTTTTTCCGATTGAAAATAAAACACACAAAATATACAATTATAGATTGATTGATATAAATCCTAATATATATATACAGACAGTATTATAACTTAACATTTACTTATATAATTTATATACATATATATATATATATATATATATATATATATATATATATATATATATATATATATATATATTAATTAATTAATTAAATAAAACTATAATTAATTAATTTTTTTAAATGTCTTTTTTTAGTATACTTATAAATTACTGTGAATTTTCTCAAATCTCTAAATCGCCGTCAATATCGTCATTAGATCTGATTTGTGTGATGAGCTGATCCGCTTCCAGCAAATCAGTGGAACTTCTTCTCGGAATAGTCTTCTTATTAATCGATGCTGTCGTCGTCGTCGTCGTCGGCGTCGCCATTGTCTTTGTCTTCGCTTTCTTTTCAGTCAACGAGTCGTCACTTTTGTTTCGACCAACGGTTCCGGACAGATGTTCTTCTGATGGTTCACTTTTTGTTTGGTTACTTCGCGTATAACTCGATAACAGTTTATTTCGGACAACAGACCACCAAAGCCAGACAACGAATACAATCACTGCAATACCCAATAGGATGACTATTATGACGACAATCACTATATAGACTGTATAGCTGTGTTGTTTGCCAGTAGTAGTGGCCAACACCGACGATAAATCACTGCCCGTCAGATCGGTTGCCGACGAGTTGGCTATTGTTATCGCCGTCGTCATCATCGCCGACACATTGGTCATCACACTATCGTCTGTAATAGTTGCGGTACTGTTGTTAACATCACTGGCATTGACTGGTATAGCAGTGGCAGGGCTTGTCGTCGTCATCGGTTTTGTAGTGGTTGTTGTGGTAGTAGTCGTAGTAGTGGTTGTTGTTGTGGTGGTGGTAGTAGTAGTAGTCGGCCGTGAATTTCGGGGACAATTGAAATATTGTTGAGTTTGTATCAAAGTTTTTGGTTCACACTATTAAAAAAAAATGTTGAAATTTAAAAAATAAAAATTAATAAAATTGTGTGTAAATTGTTATTAAATGCTTAAGTTATGTTAACTATTATATACCCGCGGCATGTCTTTAACATTAGCGCCAATACAATAGTTTTTATCGCCAAACATAACCAAATTGTTTTTATTGATAATCACGGCTTTAATATCCATAAAGTTGCCAAAGTTGTCACCCGTCGGCTGATTGTTAATGTGGCTAAAGAATGCCATATATTCGCCGGCTCTGACCAGTTCGCCAGTCGATACGTATCGGGGATCTGTTATACTGTAGAACTGGTATTTTGTGTACCACTTGGACTCGAATATGATATAAACGGCAGCATCTTTGCGGGCCAGCGACCCGTTATCATCGAAGTAGTGATCGGTAGCGGCCATTACTTTGTCGTTGACTCGCATATAGTTCCACTCATCTGTCGTGCCATTGATTTTCGAAACATTTTTATTATAGAGAAACCATTTGTTTTTCTTTATTTTTTTTTAAATATAAAGGAACGGTATGTATGAAATGTAGTCAAAATATATATATATGATATAATAGGTTTTTTCTGTCTCATTACTTACAACAATGAAAACAGTGGCCAAACCATATTTGCCCTCATCAATGGTAAACGCCGCGTCCACTGGTGTCGGCAGTCCAGGCCAACGGTTGTCAATCCAATCGCCCGGTTCGGGCGACGCACCCGTTTGGGTGTCGATTATCCAATAGGATTCACCTTTCAGTATATAGTTCAGGCCGTCATCTGCACTGACAGCCGCGTCAATGATCAGATCGTTGCACAGTTGCTCTTCGGGACCACCGATCATGTCCTGCTGTCGTCCTGTTTTGGTGGTCTCCGTCATCGATGTGGTCGTCATCGTCGACACTAACAACACAATTAACGCCATCATCGTTGTGCTGGTGGTGATGATGGTTGATATCCGTTCAATATTACAATAAAAATCAAACATTTAATTACTTTTTATAGTTTTATATCTATACACTATTTCATTAAAAAAAATTTGTAATTAAATTAGTTTTTTTCAAACAAACAGTCAATTGATTTTCCAGAAACTGATTATCAATTTTTATTTAGTTTGTTTGAACTACAATCTCGAGGCCAACAATTAAAATCCATAAATAAATTGTGTATTAATTAAAATATTTATGCGATTAATAACTATAACAATTAATTTAGTTACTATTAATTTATAAAATATAATAATAATAATAATACAGTAATATATAATTTGTAGTACAATTAAATTTGACAGTAAATTAATTGTAATTTAAAAATTATATATATTTTTTAAAATTCTAGTCTATTAGAAAAAACAATAATTGTGTATACTATAACAATTTAATTATTACTAACTAACAAAAATGATCCTAGTAACTTTTTTGTCGTTGTTTATGTTGAATAATTAGTCAAACAAAAATTAAAACTTTTAAATTAAAAATAAACATTAATTTTTATTTACGGAAAATAATAATGATGATAATAATAATAATAATAAAGCGGTAATTAATTTTTTATTTAAAAATATCACTTAATCCTAAATTAACTACAATTTAAAAAAAACTTTTATTATTATAAATTCAGATAATTATTTCTTTATTTCAATTTATTTTTAATTATATAATAAAAATATTTCTAGAAATAGCTATTAATATTAAAACATATTATATTAAGTTATTTCCTGGAAGTAATTTTAACAATTAATATTATACAGTATTTCTATAAACAATATATATATATTTTTTAAAAATTCATATTAAAAAATATTAAATTTTGATAAACATTTAAATAATTAATTTTATGTAGAATTATGTTTCTAATCTATTTTTGACCCATCGGTGTAATTGATCGGTTAGTGGTCAACACAGTGTTGTCCAACACATTAAGTCTATGAACCGGGCGATCGGGTCCTGAACTTCGGTATTATGATATTTGCGTCGATAGTGGGGTAACTATATTGTGTAAAATAACTATATATTTTGACTAATTAAATGATAAATATATATATATATATATATATATTATATATAACTATTTAATATTTAAATTTTATTGTATTTTTAATTTAATTAATTAGTCATTTATATGATAAATAAAAACAAATAAATAAATAATTTATTACTATTAGATTTTATACTCATATTTGATGAAAAATTGTTAATAATTTAAATTTTCTAATAGTTTAGTTTTTATTTTTTTTAAAAAAGTAATTATAATAATATTTATATATATATATATAATTGTATTATTATTTATTTTTATTTGCATTATCTTTTGAAATTTTTTAATAAACAAAAAATTTCCATAATAAATAAAATGATGAATAATCCACAAAAATAATTAAAATATTTTTTAAAACAAAATATTTTTGTAATTTATATTTTGTTTTAAAAATATTACTTATATTACTGTAGTTAAAAAACTTATACTGTACACATTGTACTTAATAATATCAATAAAAAATAAATAAAATTTTTTTTAATTATCATTGGATATTTAAATTATTTAGTCTAAAATTTTTTTTTTATAGCAATACTATCACTAATTATACAATAAATACAATTTATTAAATAACTATTATATACAAAATTAATAATAATAACTAATATTATGGCAAATAATACATATTTAATGCAAGTGCACAACATTTGCGACATAAAGTTACGCCACTATCCGCGCAAATATCCGATACCGAAGTTTAAGACCCGATTTCCGTTCAAACGTAATCCTATAGACCTAACTGTCGCCGATTCCGATAAACTACATCAATGGTTATACAAACAGTTTCCGACCAGTTATATATCAGAGGAAAACTATCGTAAACTGGCCATCACTTCTGTATTAACTGTGGCTTATTTGTATCCACTATGTCATCTGAAGGACAGGTATTATCATATTTTACAGCATATGATCTATTTTTTTATTATGGATGACAATACTGAGGAACCGTGGGGTCGACTCAATAGTATGGATAATATGGCTGAATGTAGACGTGTTTGGGCACAGGTTAAGACACTAGTGGCCAATATAAGTGGTCATCAAATTTCCAGCAGTAGTCCAGTCGTCGATGACGATGACGGCCGTATGGAGCCATACGTTCGGATAATTCGGCCGACATTTACCAACATTTTCCAGTCACTGAATGGCCAACAGTGGCTGCGTTTTGCAGATTCGTGGTTAGACTACTGTACCGCTAATGTCGAAGAAAATCAAACCAAAGGCCAACAACGGTTTGTTTCTGTCAATCAAGTGTTAATCGTATGTAAAATGTTTTGTTAATTATATATATATATCTTGTATATAATAATTGTATTTAATTTTTTTAACACATACACACACATACACGCACATACACACACATACACATACATACATCATACACACACATACACACACATACACACACATACACACACATACACACACATAAACACATATACACACACATACACACACATACACACACACATACACACACATACACACACATACACACACATACACACACATACACACACACATACACACACATACACGTACATACACACACATACACACACATACACACACATACATCATACTTATATTCTATAGTAATTAATAAAAAAATAATAGATATATACTTAAATACTATAATAGCTTCGTCGGAAAACCATAGGTCTAATACCGACAGTATTATCACTAGAATATGCCTACAATATTGAGATCCATGAGTCCGAATGGTTGGACCCACGCATGCAATTACTATTGCAATTACTAAACGATCATATTATCTATATTAACGATTTGTTTTCATTTGAAAAAGAGCTCAAATCAAATATCATTGTAAAATCTAATACAATGGGCACCGGTAGCCATCAATCACTCGATGATGACCGACAAGTATTGCCACAAATGGCCAATACTGTTGCCCAGACTGCTGTTGAACTGAATTGTTCAATACCTGATGCACAGACAGTTATTTGCAAACGTATTGAACAATTGGAGATTGAAATGATAAAACTAGTGGTCGATTGGGAACAAAGTAGTGTTAATGATGGCCAGTCGTTAAGTCCCGGTGTCCGACAATTTATTAGTGGACAACTCTATATGCCCGGCGGTAACTATAGGTCCAGTTTAGGTGTCGATAGATATAATAAATTTTGAATAAAAATATTAAATATATATATATAATATTAATAATTTATTATTAATAATAAATAATGTATTATTGTTAATTACTATTACTACTACTAATAATAATAATTGGAAATAATTTAATTCAAACATTTATAAAACTATATGATTATTATAATTAATATTTAATTTAATTATTATATTAGTTTATATATTCATATTGTTATACAATAATTATTCTGTATATTTATACAGTATATTTGTATTTTAAATATTAAAAATGACAACAACAAAAAATATTTATTATATAACTATTTAATATATGATAATTAAATTTTATTGTATTTTTAATTTAAATAATTTAAATATAATTAATTAGTCATTTATAATAAATAAGTAAAAACAAATAAATAAAAAAATTTCTTACTATTAGATTTTATACTAATATTTGATAAAAATTTGTAAATAATTTAAATTTTCTAATTGTTTAGTTATTTTTTTTAATGTAATTATAATAATATTTATAATATATAATTGTATTTTTATTATTTTTTATTTGTATTATCTTTGGAAATTTTGTAATAAAAAAAAAATTCTATAATAAATAAAATGATGAATAATCCATAAAAATAATTGAAATATTTTTAAAAACTAAATATTTTTATAATTTATATTTTTAAAAAAAATTATATTACTTATATTACTGTAGTTAAAAAACTTATACTGTACATATTGTATTTAATAAAATTATCAATAAAAATAAATAAAAAATTTAATTATCATTGGATACTTTAAATTATTTAGTCTAAAATTTGTTTATTGTATTAAATTTTTAAAAAAATCGTTTTGCCGAAAATTAGTCATTTAAAAGATATATAATAATATAAGTAAAATAATATTTATGTTTTACTGTATTAACATTGTTAACAGCATTAAGGGTCCATACATTTTGTCATTATTTAATTAATTTTTTTAAAAAACGTATTATTTTTTAAAAAAATTTTAGTAGTTTTATATAAACTATAATATATATTCTACTTTTACCATAATACTGTAAAATATGTATAATATATATATTGAATTACAATTAAATTAAAACATTACTTTAATTTAAATACAGTATATATATATATATTGTTTATTACAAACAAAATTGTTTTTAGACTAAATCAATTTAATTTTTATTATAAATTCAGATAATTATGTCTTTATATCAATTTATTTTTAATTATATAATATAATGTCGTCGATGTTATAAAAGAAATTTCTATCTATGGGATCCCCATTGACTAATTAAATGACAAAACAATATATTTATTATATAACTATTTAATAATTAATAATTTTATTGTATTTTTAATTTAAATAATTTAAATTTAAATAATTAGTCATTTATATAATAAATAAAAAAAATTTATAACTATTAAATTTTATACACATATTTGATGAAAATGTTAATAATTTAAATTTTCTAATAGTTTAGTTTTTAAAAAAAAAAATAATTATGCTAATATTTATAATATATAATTATATTATTATTATATTATTATTTGCATTATTTTTGTAAATTTTATAATAAACAAAAAATTTCAATAATAAATAAAATGATGAATAATCCACAAAAATGATGAATAATCCATAAAAATAATTGAAATATTTTTAAAAACTAAATATTTTTTTATTATTTATATTTAAAAAAAAATTATATTACTTATACTGTATTTCTGTAGTTGAAAAACTTATACTGTACATATAAAATTATCAATAAAAATAAATAAAAAAATTAATTATCATTGGATACTTTAAATTATTTTTAAAAAAATTTGTTTTTTAATAGTAATACTATCACTAATTATACATGTATTAAACAACTATTAGCTACAAAATATATAACTAATAATAACTAATATTATGGCAAATAATAACTATTTAATGCAAGTGCACAACATTTGCGACATAAAGTTACGCCACTATCCGCGCAAATATCCGATACCGAAGTTTAAGACCCGATTTCCGTTCAAACGTAATCCGATAGACATTACTGTCGCCGATACCGATAAACTACATCAATGGTTATACAAACAGTTTCCGACCAGTTATATATCAGCGGAAAACTATCGTAAACTGGCCATCAATTCTGTATTGATTACGGCTTATTTCTATCCGCTATGTCATCTAAAGGACAGGTATTATCATATTTTACAGCATATGATCTATTTTTTTGTTATGGATGACAATACTGAGGAACCGTGGGGTCGACTCAATAGTATGGATAATATGGATGAGTGTAGACGTGTTTGGGCACAGGTTAAGACACTAGTGGCCAATATAAGTAGCTGCGGCGGCCACCAAATTTCCAGTAGTATTAGTAGTCCAGCCCTCGATGACGATGTCGACCGTATGGAGCCATACGTTCAGATAATTCGGCCGACATTTACGAACATTTATCAGTCACTGAATGGCCAACAGTGGCTGCGTTTTGCCGATTCGTGGTTAGACTACTGTACCGCTAATGTCGAAGAAAACCAAACCAAAGGTCAACAACGGTTTGTTTCTGTCAATCAAATGTTAAACGTATGCAAAAAATGTTTTGTTAATTAGATATATATATAGTATAATAATTTTGTATATAATAATTGTATTTAATTTTTTAACACACATACACATCATACTTATATTATACAGTAATTAATAAAAAAAAATAATAGATATATACTATAATACTATATAATAGCTTCGCCGGAAAACCATAGGTCTAATACCTACAGTATTATCACTAGAATATGCCTACAATATTGAGATCCATGAGTCCGAATGGTTGGACCCACGCATGCAATTACTATTGCAATTACTAAACGATCATATTATCTATATTAACGATTTGTTTTCATTTGAAAAAGAGCTCAAATCAAATATCATTGTAAAATCTAATACAATGGGCACCGGTAGCCATCACTCACTCGTTGATGACCGACAAGTATTGCCACAAATGGCCAATACTGTAGCCCAGACTGCTGTTGAACTAAACTGTTCAATACCTGATGCACAGACAGTTATTTGCAAACGTATTGAACAATTGGAGATTGAAATGATAAAACTAGTGGTCGATTGGGAACAAAGTAGTTGTAATAATGGCCAGTCGTTAAGTCCCGGTGTCCGACAATTTATTAGAGGACAACTCTATATGCCCGGCGGTAACTATCGGTTCAGTTTAGGTGTCGATAGATATAATAAATTTTGAATATAAATATTAAATATATATTTTTATATAATATTAATAAATAATGTATTATTGTTAATTGCCATTACTACTACTAATAATAATAATTGGAAATAATTTTTATTAAAAAATTCAAGCATTTATAAGACTATATGATTATTATAAGTAATATTTAATTTAATTATTATATTAGTTTATAAATTCATATTGTTATACAATAATTATTCTGTATATTTATACAGTATATTTGTATTTTAAATATTAAAAAATTATTAATATAATAAATTTTTTTAAGTGTTCATATATCAAAATTTAAATAAATTACCAGTAATTTTTTTTAAATCACTTATTTTTGTTTTTATAATTTAATAAATTATCAATAAAATTAATATATTTTGTCATAATGTATCTATCACTTTTGGTCTAAAATAAATGTACCTTTTTTAAAAAATATATGACTAAACAAATGTGATATATATATAATATTAATTAATAATGTATTAGTTTTTAATTGGAAATAATTTAATACAAAATTCAAACATTTATAAGACTATATGATTATTATATATAATATTTAATTTAATTATATATATATTCATATTGTTATAATATAATTTAATTATTATATTACTTTATATATATATATATATATATATATATATATTCATATTGTTATAATATAATTATACTGTATAAATATATAGTATATTTGTATTTTAAATATTAAAAAATTATTAATCTAATAATTTTTTAAAAATGTTTATATATCAAAATTTAAATATATTATCGATAATTTTTTTAAAATCACTTATTTTTGTTTGTATAATTTAATAAATTATCAATAAAATTTAAATATTTTGTCATTATGTCATATCACATTTGGACTAAAATAAATGTAAACAAAAATTTTATTAAAAAAAAGTATGACTAATCAAATGTGATTTTTAAAAAAAAATATTTTATACTTTTTTGTTTTGTTTTTAAAGTTTTTATATCTTATTACGTCAATTAGGGTTCTATAGCTAATAATTCCCTCTTTTTTTTAATGGTTTTATTCCTCTAACAAAAAGTGTTCCTCTTTTTTCATTTCGTTTACTGGGAATTAAAATGTAATTTCTATTATTTCCTTTTTTTTTTGTTGCTATTATTTGCTATAAAATCCTAAATAAAAAAACAACTATAAGTCAAATATATAGTTTTTATATATATACATGTATATATATATTGTATTACAATTAAATTAAAACACTACTGTAAGTTAGAAATTATATCTAAAAATATATATATAGTTTATTGCAAAAAAAAAATTGTTTTACACTAAATCAATTTAATTATTACTATAACTACAAAAAAACAATCCTAGTATTAGTCAATCATACAATAATTAAAAAAAATTATTAAGTAACAATAATATAATGATAATAATAACATTTAACATTCAATTTTTATTTATTATTGACAATAATCAATATAATAATAATAATAATTAACCGGTAAATTAAAAATATTATGACTAAATCACAAAAATAACTACGAAATTGATTTTTTTGATTTCATTTTATTTTAAAATTAGATAATTTGTTTTTAATTTTTAAAAATACTATATTATAGCTAATCAATCAATCATTGATTGATTTCAAATGAATAATTAAAAATCAATCTTTTAGATAATCGTTAGTAAATTTCGACAAATCGTCGTTCAAATAGTTGGCCTTATTTTTCAATCGGCGAGCAATTGACGAACAGTCGGACAGTTGACGAATCTGTTCGTCCAATTGTTTCATTTCGGTCTTAATATCGGCCATTACTTCATCGATTAGATGACATAAACGGGCAAAAGTTGACGACAACTCTCTTTAAAAACACAAAGAAAACATAAATCAATTACCGGTAAAACAATTTGTTTAATTTTATTATACATACTGTTGGACCTGATGTGAACAGTTAGCACTGGTTAGGTCGACAATTAATTTCAATTTTCTGGTCGAATGATTTACATACTGTTTCTTGAATGTCGACTCTTTCGCCCGATTAGTCCACGTTAGACGTTCATAGACATAGAGTAGACCGTAAACGCTGCCCGTAATGGCTATCAATCGCCAGCCAATAGTCCGGACAAGTATACCGCTAACGGCAAGCATACCGACAGTTGTATGCGATTGCGATGTCAGATGACTGATCCGTTCGATAACTGCCAGCGCATCAAATTGATTGGCCGAAGCATTCATCACTACTTCACTGTTGCTGGGAGTCTGCGGCGCTGTCGATGGCAACGATTTATGCGACGACGACAACGACTCTTTCTTTGCCAAATCCTTTGAATTGGTAGTAAATCGTTGAATCATTTGAATCAAACCGAATGAAAAACGAAATTCTAAGTCTTCTTGAAAGTCCGAACACAACGACTCGCAGTTAATTCGGTATAATATCTCAAAGTTCTGTCGCGGTGTCAGACTATACGAGTGATAATGTTGTCGATACTGATCGTTTGGTGGCAACAAATTCATTACTCGTTCGATCATTTCTTTTTGCGCCGATTCGACATTACAGGACAATGCACTGGACAGCCGAGCCCGCAGATTGGATCCCAGACCGCGTTCAACGTGCGAATGCAGCTCTTTCTTGTAGACACCCAAAACCAGACTATCCGAACTAAATGGTCGATCAAAATCGTTGACCAGAAGCGATAGTCGCCGGATCTCTTCGTTAAGTGCGGCCGACACTTTCACCTCTACCTGTTCGACCAGATGGCAGATCTGGTGTTTGGCTTCGTTGGTCAACAGTTGTATCTGTTGTTGAATAAATTCCAGCTTATCGTTCAACTCTTTCCTTAGTTCGCACTTTGCGGTAATCAACTGTTGCGACGATCGTTCAATAGTGTCCATAATCGATGCCAATTCGGTAGCTAATCGTTGGCCACGTTTTGTGTGCTGAGCAAACTTTGTCTTCAGAGCCGTATGAGACAAACATTGTTCAAATTTTTGCTCGAAATCTTCGAACTCGAAATATCTGAGTTGATAGCCGTCGGCAAAACCAGACGGAGTTCCCGCTGTCTCGACGACCGATGACTGTTGAAGTCGAGTCTGGAGTACTTCTTTGGCCGAAACGAAAAACACTCGATCTTCGGCTTCGTGTCTGTCGACGACATTCAATTCGTTAGACAAGAAATCGATATCACGTGTCATATGCTGTTTGCGAACCAGTTCTTGATTTTCTGGTTCGGCTGCCGAAGCGTCCCATCGGTTGTTAAGAATGAAAATGTTTGGTTTCGATAGTTTTTCGTTGACTTTGTGAAAGAAGTTTTTTTCGGCTCTCATTAGTGTCGACTCCGAATTGGACACCAAAACAAACACATCGGCGTCCAGACAGTGCTTATCGATCCATTCGTCCAGATTGGCGGACACATCGATACCGGGACTATCAACTAGAACCACATCATCGCTAAGTAGTGAACATTTGTTTTTAGGCCAATAGACGCGGACCAGAGTCGAGTCGCCCATCTTTTCATTGGTCAACGCATTGGCCAAATGCTGGACCGATTCGATATTGAGCCGAGTATTGGGATTATCGTCGACAACAATAAACGGTTCGTCTTCGTCGGTGCCCTCGACCTGCAGAAAACAGTTGGTCGTGTGGCCCAAACCCGACGGCAATATCTTGTTATGGAGAACAGCGTTAATGACACTACTCTTGCCATTACTGGTTCGGCCAAAGAATGCCACTTTCATGTGATCGCGACGAAGTACATCGCAAATGGCTACCACTTTGTCGATAAAGCTGTCCACACGAGTCAACTGATCTTTCGTGACCACTTCGTCGGTAGAGTTGGCAACAAATTGTTTGGCCTCATCAACAAATTGGCCGATTTGGCCGAATATTTCGTTGATAGTTTTTTTGGCCAAAACAAACACTTTGAGTGGCGATTCACTAGCCGTTGTCGACGACGACTCCATTATCGATGTCTGTGTCTTAATAACCGGATGACTAGTAGTCTTAGTTGAGCCGAAACCGTTGCTGACCATCGAAATCGACCGATTAATCAGTGCAGCCATCGATCGCTATAGTATACCGATCGGTGCGCGTAAAAGACATTCAATTAAATCAAACAATCAATCGCTTGCAATGTCTTTCGTATTCTTCTACTTCTTTAAAAAAAAAACAGATGAAACTGATTCACACACCAATTGATCCAATAGTTTCAACAAAAAAATCAATTACTGATTGATTGCAATACTTATTGATTGATTTCATTGGATATTATGTCACACTTTAAGGTTAAAGTGTAATCACAATCAACACAACAAACAAACCCATTGTAAAAGTGATGATACAATCAATAACGTCAATCAATTGGTTATCGACAACATATAGATATACATATATATACAGTAATACAATGCCTGAACCAATCAAAAAAGGGGACCAATGTTTTCATGTGGACATCATTTGTTAATTGAAAACACAAACATGTGTTTATGATATTTGAAATCAAATTGCAATCAAAATAAAAACTTTTTTTGTTTTTATTTGTTTGTGTTTTCATATCATATATGATATACAATCCAATTATCACTTTGAACTGATCCATCATAACGTTGTTGTTGTTGTTGTCCCACAACCATATCATATACAGGGATGCGCTTCAGTCGTATACCGTCGTGGAGTTTCCCGAACTACAAGTCCCGTCTGCCCGACCACTACTACCAACATCGGCGCCAATTGGATCGGCCATCAAGTCGTGTCCACGACCGACCATTCGACTACCAGAAACCCGACTACTATGATCTCTTCTACAATAGCGAACGCCATAGAGTGTATAATAATCATTAATGTCTTTTAAATGTCCAAATATTTATTTTGATTGTCCATTTGATTCCCGCGACTACACTGCAGTGAACGTGTGGCCGACGTACCAATACCGGTGATTTATCCGCCAGAAGCCGACACCGGTATCTGGGGTGGCGAAGGTGTTGTCAAAGGTTACGTAAAGCCCAGGAAGTACTTCCAGCAGGGAGATCCGTATGTATATATACATTGTGGTACTAATTGTGGTACTAATTGTGGTACTAATTGTGGTACTAATTGTGGTGATAATCGGTAATAATATATATATATATCTATTGTATACTTTCACCACTTGAATGAACGCCGCTATTGTTGTCGACATATATCTGACAACAAACACAACGTCCAGACGTCCGAAGATGTGGTTTCCAAATCTGAAACGATGTGTACTCTATAGCGAGATATTAGACAAACATTTTCGCCTAATCTGTACCCGACGTACACTGGACTTAGTGGACAGTCATTATGGCTTCGATGCCTACCTATTGAGTTGAGTGTTGTGTGTCTTTGATTTTAACACAAAATTTTTTTTTTAAATAAATATTTTATATTTATATTGTGTTATAAAACAGAAACTCCAGTACAAGATCTAAAGTCACAGTTGGCTCTATCATTGAGACGACTAATGTTATTGAAGTTATTGAAGAATGACTTTACAGATGAAAACCATGGCAAAGAAATGCGCGAAAAATATAGCGACTGTTGGAAAGGATTTACTGTATGTGTTATTATTATTACTGTATATTTCAATTGATTGTAATACACGTCTGATATCTTATTTTTTTGTTGATTGGATTGTATGTATGTGTTTCGGGAACAGCTAGAAGAAGCCGAATGGTTTGGTCTGTCAGTAAAACAGGCCATAGAAAAACAGAAACTAATTGACGCCAAACAATACAAACCGATACCATTGAAGGCTATACTAACTCAGGAGCTGATCGAAGAATTGCAAAGTAATTGTTTTATTGTTTTTTTTTCATTTCGTTTGATTAGTATTTTGATTTAATCTTTTATTTCTTTGTTTTATTTGATATTAGAAATGAAAGACAGCGGAGAAATGGATATACTTATGAAAGAAGAGAAAAAGTTTGTAAACTTTTATGTTTTTTTTAACAATCAATTTAATTGAATTTATTGATTTGGTTTTAATTTTTTGTTATTTATTTATAATTATCATTATTATTATTATTATAGACATCATTGGTTGGATAAATTCAAGTTAAAAATACCATTTTTAAAGACCAATCAATAGATTGGTTAAAATTATGATTTAAAATAAAATCGTTAGTTACAGTTAGCAAACATAATATATACATAATTTATATAATGTATTTAAAAAAAAACATTTTTAATTCAATAAAAATTTCAATTTCTGTACATTAAGTATGAATTGGTTTTTTTTAAAAAAATGAATAATACAAATGTTTGAATATTTAAAATATAATTTCTCTTTTCTCTCCCTCTCTCTCTCTCTCTCTCTCTCTCTCTCTCACTCACTCTATCTATCAATGACTGTTGTCCGGTCTTCCGCGGCCTTCAGTTTGATTTGTTCCCAAATAAATGTCACGGTTTTCTCTCTCTCTCTCGAGTATTGCCCGGCCCTTCATCTCGGTCTCAATCCTCTTGTCGGCCTTACCTCTCAACTCCGTCTCCAGTGGTTGGTAGAGCTCTTTAAGGAATCAAAAATCCCGAATAGTGATGGTAGCTCAGACCCCCCTTAGTCTACCCATACCACCCACATAGCTGTCCGACCTCCGCAATTCGAGATATTCGACTTTAAAGTCGAAAATTATTTTTGACGTTATTTATGAATATGACATACTATCGATGTATTTTTCAATACTAATTATGATTATAAAAAACTAAATCACATTATGTCAAATATTTTTCGAGATATTGGACTTTAAAGTCGAAAAAATAAAAATTCCGCATGATGTCTAAATGGCAATCGAAGTGCTTTTCGATTAAAAACCACAGCAAGTGGTATATATGATCCACCAAAAATTGTTAGACCAATGTTTTTGTCTACTAACTTTTTTAAACTTAATCTAATTATTAAAAATTTTATTAATTACATTATAAATAATTTATAAACTTAATTTTAATACATTTATTTTATTATATAAACATATTATTTATTACATTTAAAAATACTTAGAATATAATTCTTATTTTTATTATATTAAAACTAATTTAGACTATGTTTAGATATATGTGGCTAAAATTCTGTTTTTATTCAATGAAATATTTGCTTAAAAATATGAAAATGTGGTTATATTTGCTTAAAATAGTAAAAAATGTGCTTATAATTGCTTTGAAAAGTCAAAATATGTGATTATATAGATTAATAAAATTATTAAAAATTATATATTAATTAATAAAAGTAATTTTGTGTTACAATTTATGATAAAGTAATATTTTATATTTTTATTATTTAAACTTAAAAAACGCATAAATTAAAAATATTTAGCTTTTAAATTGTTTGTATAAATTTAAATTAATCTAAATAACATTTTCACTCCTATTGACTTTTAGTAAACACTAGAAAATAACATAAAACATTTCATTATTTTTTTTTGATTTGTTTACAAAAATTAACAAATAAAGTTTCATTGATAAAATAATACTATTTTTAAAAAATTGAACAAATAATACATACAAAAATACATAAAAAATGCAATTCAACTATTATTTTACAGATATGCGAAATATGTGATAATATGTGATAGTATTTGATAATATGTGACTACCTTTCAAAATATGTGTTTATGTGACTAAAACATTTGCTATAATTATTGGTTTTTAATCAATCGTTTATATATCTAATTATTTTGTTAATATCTTTAATCACTAAAAATATTTTATATGTGAAATAAATGCTCTAGTCATAATCAAATTATATTTAATTTTTTATAAATAATAAATTTATACACAAATGTATTTTTTAAATTTAATATTTAAAATTAAAATAATTCTAATTATTATTTAAGATGCTTAAATTATTTTGTCACAAATATATATTTTGACTTTAAAGTCGAATATCTCAAAAACTATATAACAATGATCCTGACTATTATATAAATCAGTTAATAGAAAATAATATAATTAGTGATCGGAAAAACTGTTTGATATATATATATTAATAATAAATAACCTCAAAAGAAATTGATTAAGTCGAATATCTCGAAAACTATGTGACAATGAATTTTAATGAATTTTAAAAATGAATTTTAATATTTATAATTAGTATTAGAAATTGCATAAATAATATATCTCATATTCATAAATATTTTTTTTGACTTAAAAGTCGAATCTCGAAAACTATTTGACATAATGTGATTTAGTTTTTATAATCATAATTAGTATTGAAAAATACATAGAAAGTGTGTATCATAATCATAAATAACGTCAAAAATAATTTTCGACTTTAAAGTCGAATATCTCGAATTGCGGAGGTCGGACAGCTATGTGGGTAGTATGGGGATACTCAGGGGGGTCTGAGCTACCATCACTATTCGGGATTTTTGATTCCTTAAATCACTCTATCAGACCTAAATGACTCAAAACATACTACAGTTTTGAATCATTTATACTGATTCTCAATACTATTAATACTGTACTTAACTTTTATTACATTATATTACTCATTGACTCATTTAGTCAATCATTTATTTAATTAATTAGTTTACTCACTGACTCACACACACACACACACACACACACATACACTGGTAATGCATTGAATGATGTAATGCATTGAATAGTGTGTTACAGTATTTTCAATAAACTATTCAATAGTATTATAGAGACTTAACAGTAATACTGTTTGACTGACAGCACACGTGCTCTCAGTTTTTTCCCAATCAAACCACACGTTCGGACAGTAGTTCGGTAGTAGTAGTGGTCAACCATTTTCATCCACAACAACAACAACACTTGAAACATGTCGTGGCTTTTCGGCTATAATCGCAATGACGCCAATCAACCGCCTCAACAACCGTCGGCCCAACAAATGCCGACCGGCGGCGGCAGCGGTTCAGTTGCCGGTGGTAGTAGTGGTGGTGTCGGCGGCGGCGGACCATCAGGTGGTGACCTATCAGCCGACGGCAAGATGCGTGCCTATCAGTTTGATTCATCGGCACTGGAAAGGGCTGCCAAAGCGGCCAAAGATTTGGAAAGTTCAAAGTTTGCCAAAGAAGCGCTAGATTTGTCTAAATTACAGGAGACAACCAAACAGATGGACTTTCAGAAACAGATGAAAGAGTACGAAACACACGTCGAACAGATGAAATTGGACGCCAAACGAGTCGAATACGAAGAGAAACGAAAAATGTTGGCCGAAGAGACTAAACAACACCAGCAAAGAGCCCAATATAATGACCAATTGTCCAGAAGAAGGTACGAGGATCAGCTCATTCAACAGCAACGTACCAATGAAGAGAATCTACGCAAACAAGAAGAATCTGTGGCCAAACAGGAAGCACTTCGCCGAAAGACGTTGGAACAGGAGATGGAATTGAGAGGAAAGGCCGATATGAAGAGGATTGAGGCCGAGATGAAGGGCCGGGCAATACTCGAGAGAGAAAACCGTGACATTCATTTGGAACAAATCAAACTGAAGGCCGCCGAAGACCGGACAACAGTCATTGAATCGATCAAAACGGCCGGCGAAGTGATCGGAACCGGTTTCAAGAATTTTATTTCAGATTGGGATCGCGTGACCGCAACTGCTGTCGGCTTTACATTGATTGCCGGAGGAATATATTCGGCGAAACACGGAATCAATATTATTGGCCGCACTATTGAATCCCGAATTGGAAAGCCGTCACTTGTTAGGGACACTTCGCGACTTAATTTTACTGATGTACTCAAACATCCGGTTCACGCGACACAACGTTTCTATGCGAGCCGTCGGCCTGAAGACGCTCTCAAAGGCGTAATACTGAAACCTGAACTCGAAGAGCGGCTCCGAGACGTAGCCATTGCTACGAAAAATACAAAGAAAAACAAAGGATTATATCGTAATATCCTTTTCTATGGTCCGCCCGGAACGGGTAAGACATTGTTTGCCAAACGTTTGGCTCAACACTCGGGTATGGACTATGCGATTCTCAGCGGCGGTGATGTAACACCAATGGGTCGCGAAGGTGTGACCGCTATTCATAAGACATTCAATTGGGCCAACACTTCGCGCAGAGGACTTCTGCTGTTTGTCGACGAAGCGGACGCTTTTCTACGTAAGCGAAGCTCCGAACATATGAGCGAAGATTTGAGGGCAACGCTCAATGCATTTCTCTACCGAACCGGCGAACAGTCCAACAAATTTATGTTAGTATTGGCCAGTAATACACCCGAACAGTTCGATTGGGCTATCAATGATCGACTCGACGAATTGGTTGCCTTTGAGTTGCCATCGCTTGAAGAACGCAAACGTCTGGTTAATCTATATTTCGGACGATTTGTTTTACAACCGGCCGCTGAAGGCAAGAGGTCAGTGATCAATGTTTTCAATAATTTTTTTACATTAATTTAATTTAGTTTTTATATTATTACAAAAATATATGGCATTTAAAAATTATCACATTTAAAAAAAAAAAAAATAATTGACTTTTTTGTTTTTGTTTTTTAATAGACGACTTAAATTAGACAAATTTGATTACGTCGAGACCTGCAACAAGATTGCCGAATTAGTGGACGGCCTATCGGGTCGCGAGATATCCAAATTGGGTGTCGCCTGGCAGGTAAGCACCGGGACTTCAGTGATAATATAATACTATTGGGGGTGTAATATATATATTGTGCGACTAATTAATGTGATTATCATTTTTTTTTCTAAGGCAACCGCTTACGCCTCGCACGACGGCGTACTAACGGAACGTATGGTTATGGAAAGGGTCTACGAAGCTATTGGCCAACACAAACACAAACTCGAGTGGCAGGCGGACGAAGAAAAGGCCAAACGAGTGATGACCGTCAAACAGAAGACCTATTCAGTCGTCTGATTGGTGGCCAAATAGTTGGCGGTGTTGTTGTTGTTGTTGTGGTCGTTGTCGACTTAGCTGTTGTTGTCTTTTATCATCATTCATGTGGTGATCAGTCGCCGCACTCGTCTCATCATCGATGGTCTCGTCGATGACGGCCTCATCCCACGGGCCGTAGATATTTCTAATCAATTGTACATAAAATAATAGTCTTTTTTTAGGATATTTTTTAAATAATATAATATATATATATATACACACATAGTATATAAGTTTTATATAACAAATTGTTTTTTTTCAAAATTATTTTTGCGGTCAATTTTTTTACCGATAAAAAAATGTGTTATTTTTTATGACAATTTATATATACATACTCTTTGTATTTCTGGCACCGGTAGAAGCCGAGTGGACAGATAAAGTTGATGCAAACTAATAGCAAAATAAATAGATACAAATAGATGAGCGGACAGGCCGTATACAATAGTATTGCCGAAATAATCAGATGAACAACTGTCAAATATATGCGCCAATTATCGCTGGCCAGTTGTACCCGTCGGCGTAGTATCGACGACAATACAAATATGTCCGACGCAAATATCAACAGTGCAAAAGCGTCGTACGTAGTGGACAGTCGCGAAGCCAGACAAACACCTCCGAAAATGGCCGCATTCAGCGCTACAGGTGTACTGACAATGGCCGCTTTGGCGCCGTAATCGTAGAATGTCAAATGGACCAGCATCATGATGGTTACCATGGCGTAGATGGTGTCCGTACTGACCGTTTCGGTCAACGTTTTCAGTATCGGCGATACTGCCAGACCGCTGATCAGGAATATGGCCGCACTCTTCAGTTCGTTCAATACTGTTGAATGTAAAACATATATATATATATTACCGGTAATATATGGGATCAGTGATTAGATTTCGGCCATCGGTATAATATAATAATTACCGTCATTACTGGGCGACGATAGTATTAGCGATGAATAGAGAAACAATGTAATGACGACAATGGTTACGCCCGTATAGATGGACAACTGTGGCCGACCAGAGTCCAGATAGAGAAAGACAACTATGAAGATAATGATGGAACAGATTTCTTGGGTCAACGCCGTCGACGATAGGATACAGTCTTTGAGTTCGTATTTCTGGAGATTTACTGAGAAGGAGAAGAAGGAAGAAGAGGAAGTGTTTAACTGATTGATGATAATCGCGATTATCGGAGAAAAACTACTAAATAAATGGTAAATACCATTCTTGCGTAAGTCCTGTAGAAAACTTGGCGGTACGTAATGGTCGGCCACTCCTTGCCGTGAATACAACACTTTTTTCCAGTGCTGATCGCCGCCGCCGCTGCCGATGGCGACCGCCTCCTTGTGATGACTCTTCGCCGTCGCCGTCGTCACCGTTGCTGTGGTCATCATCATTGACATCAAGTCATTCAAATGTACTGTAAATAAGTGTCAAAAATAACTGTTGTTTTTATTAAAACACCACTTCTTTCATCTGACATCTGGTGTTTCTAATAGTCGTATAATACGTTTGGATATTAAAAAAAAAGTTTTATATCATATAATAAAAGTTACAAATTGTTATATAATTGAAAAATAATTTATACATTAATTAATTTATTTATAATTAATACAAATTTATTATATACAGGATATATAATATTATATAATCGTTATAATAATAATAATAATAATGTCTTTTATAAAATAATATTTTTTTGTTTATAATTAGTTAATAATTAAATTTGTTTTCTCTCTAATATTTTAAGTTATTTTTTTTTTAATTTATTAATTATTTATTGGTTATTGATTTCCATTGAAATCAACGATCAATTATTTTTTTAATTAATTAATTAACAAAAACTAATTGACGCCAAACAATACAAACCGATACCCATTGAAGGCTATACTATACTAACTCAGGAGTCGATCGAAGAATTGCAAAGTAATGATCAGTTTTTTTGTTGTTATTTTTAAAAATAAAATATTTTTTATAATTTATTTCATTTCGTTTTTTTTTTTGATTAGTATTTTGATTTTCAAAAAAAATATCAATTAATATCTTATTTGATATTAGAAATGAAAGACAGCGAAGAAATGGATATACTTATGAAAGAAGAGAAAAAGTTTGTAAACTTTTGTTTTTTACAATCAATTTGATTGAATTCATTGATTTGGTTTCAATTTTCTGTTATTTATTTATTTATAATTATCATTATTATTATAGACATCATTGGTTGGATAAATTCAAGTTAAAAATACCATTTTTAAAGACCAATCAATAGATTGGTTAAAATAATGATTAAAATAAAATCGTTAGTTAAAAATTAGCAAATATTAAATAAATATATACATAATTTATAATTAAAATAAAAACATTTTTAATTCAATAAAAAAAATTTCTGTACATTAAGTATTATGAATTGGTTTTTTAAAAAATGAATAATACAAATGTTTAAATATTTAAAATATTATCTCTCTTATCCCTCTCCTCTCTCTCTCTCACTCTCTCTCTCTCTCTCTCTCTCTCTCTCTCTCTATCTATCTATTTATCTCTCTATCTATTTATCTCTCTCTCTCTCTCTCACTCACTATCTATCTATCAATGACTGTTGTCCGGTCTTCGGCGGCCTTCAGTTTGATTTGTTCCAAATGAATGTCACGGTTTTCTCTCTCGAGTATTGCCCGACTCTTTATCTCTGCCGTCCTCTTCATCCTCTTCATGTCGGCCTTTCCTCTCAACTCCATCTCCTGTTCCAGTCTTACGGCGAAGCGTTTTTGTTTGGCCACCGATTTATTTCATTGGTAAATTGCTGTTGAATAAGCTGATCCTCGTACCTTAGTCTGGCCAATTGGTACTGATATTACGTTTGCGTTCTTCAAGCGATGGCAACTCAAAGGCAACCAATTCGTCGAGTCGATTATTGATAGCCCAATCGAACTGTTCGGGTGTATTACTGGCCAATACTAACATAAATTTGTTGGACTGTTCGCCGGTTCGGTAGAGAAATGCATTGAGCGTTGCCCTCAAATCTTCGCTCATATGTTCGGAGCTTCGCTTACGTAGAAAAGCGTCCGCTTCGTCGACAAACAGCAGAAGTCCTCTGCGCGAAGTGTTGGCCCAATTGAATGTCTTATGAATAGCGGTCACACCTTCGCGACCCATTGGTGTTACATCACCGCCGCTGAGAATCGCATAGTCCATACCCGAGTGTTGAGCCAAACGTTTGGCAAACAATGTCTTACCCGTTCCGGGCGGACCATAGAAAAGGATATTACGATATAATCCTTTGTTTTTCTTTGTATTTTTCGTAGCAATGGCTACGTCTCGGAGCCGCTCTTCGAGTTCAGGTTTCAGTATTACGCCTTTGAGAGCATCTTCAGGCCGACGGCTCGCATAGAAACGTTGAGTCGCGTGAACCGGATGTTTGAGTACATCAGTAAAATTAAGTCGCGAAGTGTCCGTAACGAGAGACGGCTTTCCAATTCGGGATTCAATAGTGCGGCCAATAATATTGATTCCGTGTTTCGCCGAATATATTCCTGCAATCAATGTAAAGCCGACGGCAGTTTCGGTCACGCGATCCCAATCTGAAATTCTTGAAACCCGTTCCGATCACTTCGCCGGCCGTTTTGATCGATTCAATGACTGTTGTTGTCCGGTCTTCGGCGGCCTTCAGTTTGTTCCCAAATGAATGTCACGTTTTTCTCTCTCGAGTATTGCCCGGCCCTTCATCTCGGCCTCAATCCTCTTCATATCGGCCTTTCCTCTCAATTCCATCTCCTGTTCCAAAGTCTTACGGCGAAGCGCTTCCTGTTTGGCCACCGATTCTTCTTGTTTGCGTAGATTATCTTCATTGGTACGTTGCTGTTGAATCAGCTGATCCTCGTACCTTCTTCTGGACAATTGGTCATTATATTGGGCTCTTTGCTGGTGTTGTTTAGTCTCTTCGGCCAACATTTTTCGTTTCTCTTCGTATTCGACTCGTTTGGCGTCCAATTTCATCTGTTCGACGTGTGTTTCGTACTCTTTCATCTGTTTCTGAAAGTCCATCTGTTTGGTTGTCTCCTGTAATTTAGACAAATCTAGCGCTTCTTTGGCAAACTTTGAACTTTCCAAATCTTTGGCCGCTTTGGCAGCCCTTTCTAGTGCTGATGAATCAAACTGATAGACACGCATATTGCCGTCGGTAGAGATAGAGTGAGAGTGAGAAAGAGAGAGAGAGAGAGAGAGAGAGAGAGAGAGAGAGAGAAGAAAGAAAGAGAGATTAATTAGAAGAATCATCAGATGGTGGATCAGATGGTGGTGATGGTGTTGTTTCCGGCGTGTAATCAAAATTTAGATCTAATTGTGTAATCGTTAATCCTTTGAACTTTATTGTGATGTTATAGTTGCCACTCTTGTAGATTAGTATCAGTACACTATAATTATGGCCATTATGGGTGGTTGGACTCGGTATAACGGTTCCAGCTCCAGGACCAATTACTGTCACATCCACTAAGCCACCATTACCACCAGTAGTCAGATAAAAGCAAACTATTGATAAAATAATATATATTATAAAAACATTTACTATTAATAGCTATTAATCATTATTTAGTAAATCAAATGTTAAATTAGTTTCTCATTTAGGTCTATCTCTCTCTCTCTCTCTCTCTCTCTCTCTCTCTCTCTTTCTCTACCATTAATTATCTTACCATTGGTTCCAGTTTTTGGACCCATAACAGCCGTGACTAAATTCGTGACTATATTCGGATGATTCGCCGATGGGTTTATAATAAATTGATGATTTGCTGTAAATTTTGTGGTCACAGGTATGGCATTTGAGGACATATTGTTGAAATAATTTTTTATTAAAACTGATTTACTTAATGAAATATTGGGAGGTTTTAATCTCTTAAGCTTTTTATATGAAATGGTATTCATTTTATTAATACTCCAATAGTTTTATATAAATTAAATTATTTTTTGTTTATCATATAAAAACCAGTGAGAATGCTATAAAGCATTGCCAGAAACAAACTTTGATGTCATAAAATTATATAGTCTCATATTAATATATATTTTTTATAAATTACGCTATCAAATGACTGAATATTATAATATAAACTCAACTATAGTCATGTAGGGTATCAAATGACTCATTATGAAAAAATACTCAACTTTAATCATATGAGGCATCAAATGATTCAGTATAACAAAATAAAGTCAAATTTAATCATTTAGGGTATACAACAGATTTAAAAAATAAATTACCATACATTACCATACATTACCATACATTACCATACATTACCATACATTACCATACATTACCATACATTACCATACATTACCATACATTACCATACATTACATTCAGTATGAAATAATAAACCTAACTATAGTCATGTAGGGGTATCAACTGATTCAGTATGATAAAATATACTTAACTTTAGTCATGTAGGGTATAAAACAATAATATAAATCTTATAATTACATACATTATTATACAATTCAATACATTAAATTTTTTATACTTTTACCACCATTTTTGAATAAAAAATAATGCTTATATATTATTTATTTTTGATGCTATAACCGAAACTGAAATCAAATATTTCAAAATTCGCAATATGAAAATCAATAGACAGACATACACACTTATACATTTCAGTAAACTACTTTTTTCTATATACTGTATATTGAATACAAAATTTTCAAACTATTAATACTGTATTTTTTTAAACTTTCATTACATTATATTACTCATTGACTCACACACACACACACACACACATACATACATACATACACTGGTAATGCATTGAATGATGTAATACTTGAATAGTGTGTTAAAGTATTATTAATATCATTGACTATTCAATAGTATTATAGACTTAAGAGTAATACTGTTGACTCTGACAGCACACGTGCTCTCAGTTTTTCACAATCAAACCACACGTTCTGACAGTAGTTGTAGTAGTGGTCAACTATTTTCATCCACAACAACATCAACTACACCTAAATATCCGGACACTTAAAACATGTCGTGGCTTTTCGGCTATAATCGCAATGACACCAATCAACCGCCTCAACAACCGTTGGCCCCGCAAATGCCGACCGTATGGACTATGCGATTCTCAGCGGCGGTGATGTAACACCAATGGGTCGCGAAGGTGTGACCGCTATTCATAAGACATTCAATTGGGCCAACACTTCGCGCAGAGGACTTCTGCTGTTTGTCGACGAAGCGGACGCTTTTCTACGTAAGCGAAGCTCCGAACATATGAGCGAAGATTTGAGAGCAACGCTCAATGCATTTCTCTACCGAACCGGCGAACAGTCCAACAAATTTATGTTAGTATTGGCCAGTAATACACCCGAACAGTTCGATTGGGCTATCAATGATCGACTCGACGAATTGGTTGCCTTTGAGTTGCCATCGCTTGAAGAACGCAAACGTCTGGTTAATCTATATTTCGGACGATTTGTTTTACAACCGGCCGCTGAAGGCAAGAGGTCAGTGATATCATCAATGTTTTCAATGATTTTTTACATTTAATTTAATTTAGTTTTTATATTATTACAAAATATATGGCATTTAAAAATTATCACATTTTTTTAGAAAAAAATAATTGACTTTTTGTTTGTTTGTTTTTTTTTAATAGACGACTTAAATTAGACAAATTTGATTACGTCGAGATCTGCAACAAGATTGCCGAATTGGTAGACGGCCTATCGGGTCGCGAGATATCCAAATTGGGTGTCGCCTGGCAGGTAAGCACCGGGACTTCAGTGATAATATAATACTATTGGGGGTGTAATATATATATTGTGCGACTAATTAATGTGATTATCATTTTTTTTTCTAAGGCAACCGCTTACGCCTCGCACGACGGCATACTAACGGAACGTATGGTTATGGAAAGGGTTTACGAAGCTATTGGTCAACACAAACACAAACTCGAGTGGCAGGCGGACGAAGAAAAGGCCAAACGAGTGATGACCGTCAAACAGAAGACCTATTCAGTCGTCTGATTGGTGGCCAAATAGTTGGCGGTGTTGTTGTGGTCGTTGTCGACTTAGCTGTTGTTGTCTTTTATCATCATTCATGTGGTGATCTGTCGCCGCACTCGTCTCATCATCGATGGTCTCGTCGATGACGGCCTCATCCCACGGGCCGTAGATATTTCTAATCAATTGTACATAAAATAATAGTCTTTTTTTAGGATATTTTTTAAATAATATATATATATATACACATAGTATATAAGTTTTATATAACAAATTGTTTTTTTTCAAAATTATTTTTGCGGTCAATTTTTTTACCGATAAAAAAATGTGTTATTTTTTATGACAATTTATATATACATACTCTTTGTATTTCTGGCACCGGTAGAAGCCGAGTGGACAGATAAAGTTGATGCAAACTAATAGCAAAATAAATAGATACAAATAGATGAGCGGACAGGCCGTATACAATAGTATTGCCGAAATGATCAGATGAACAACTGTCAAATATATGCGCCAATTATCGCTGGCCAGTTGTACCCGTCGGCGTAGTATCGACGACAATACAAATATGTCCGACGCAAATATCAACAGTGCAAAAGCGTCGTACGTAGTGGACAACCGCGAAGCCAGACAAACACCGCCGAAAATGGCCGCATTCAGGGCTACAGGTGTACTGACAATGGCCGCTTTGGCGCCGTAATCGTAGAATGTCAAATGGACCAGCATCATTATGGTTACCATGGCGTAGATGGTGTCCGTACTGACCGTTTCGGTCAACGTTTTCAGTATCGGCGATACTGCCAGACCGCTGATCAGGAATATGGCCGCACTCTTCAGTTCGTTCAATACTGTTGAATGTAAAACATATATATATATATATATTACCGGTAATATATGGGATCAGCGATTAGATTTCGGCCATCGATGGCTGGCCATCGGTTTAATATAATAATTACCGTCATTACTGGGCGACGATAGTATTAGCGACGAATAGAGAAACAATGTAATGACGACAATGGTTACGCCCGTATAGATGGACAACTGTGGCCGACCAGAGTCCAGATAGAGAAAGACAACTATGAAGATAATGATGGAACACATTTCTTGGGTCAACGCCGTCGACGATAGGATACAGTCTTTGAGTTCGTACTTCTGGAGGTTTACTGAGGAGGAGAAGGAGGAGGTGTTTAACACTGATTGATGATAATCGCGATTATCGGAGAAAAACTACTAAATAAATGGTAATACCATTCTTGCGTAAGTCCTGTAGAAAACTTGGCGGTACGTAATGGTCGGCCACTCCTTGCCGCGAATATAACACTTTCTTCCAGTGCTGATCGCCGCCGCCGCTGCCGATGGCGGCCGCCTCCTTGTGATGACTCTTTATTGTCGTCGCCGCCACCGTTGCTGTGGTCGTCATCGTCGCTAAAGTCATTCAAATACTGTTAATAATAGATGTATAATAACTGTTGTTTTTTTTCTAACACCACTTCTTTCATCTGACATCTGGTGTTTTTTGATAGTCGTGTAATACGTTTGGTGTAAAAAAAAATAAAAACTTTCATAAGTTATTAAAAGTAAAAAAATTTATTTTTTAATTTTATAGATAATTAAAAAATAATTACAGATTTATTATATAATAATAATAATAATAATCTCTTGAGTTTTTCTTGTTGTTTATATAATTAGTTAATAATTAAATTTGTTTTCTCTCTCTCTCTCTCTAAATATTTTAAGTTAATTTTGTTTTTATATAAATAATAGTTTTATAACTTATTAAATACCAAAATAAAGTTATATAAAAAAATTTTTTTTTTAAAAACTAATTATTATTATTCATAATCTTCTTCTTCCATTTCCTTCTTCATCTCCATCTCTATCTTCTTCTTCGTCGTCATCTTCTTCTTCGTCTTCTTTGTACATTTTGTTAAACTTTGAGTTCTTGACCAAATGGATTACCTGCTCGAAACTGGCCGTCAGGCCGAGGCCACCGCCGATTAGCTTCGATATACTGTCCCAACTGTGTTGATAATCTTCGGGATATCCAAACACCTGATTTATTCTAGCATTTAGTTTATCTATATATTCCCGTCGATCAAAATTCCAGTTCGGATAGTCCGATAAGACAACCGAACAATCGGGTCGTAAATCGGGATCAAATTCATTCATTCGGTTTAACCATTCAAATGTATTTAACATATTTGAATAACAATCGCGTGTAACCAAACTGTATAGACGGGTGATGTCATCAAATAATTCATATCTATTGTACAGTATTTGCAATCAGATTTTATTAATAATAATAATTAATAATAATAATAAATAATAATAATAATAATTAATATTAATATACCTATCTTTATCAATAAAATTACCAACTTCAAATAGCATTGCCCCGATAATGGACAGACTGTATATATCGGCTTTGTATGTATAGGCTAAGCGACCGTCGAAATCAGTGTTCAGTTTTTGGCGCCTGACTTCGGGTGCCCTATAGACTGGGGTTCCGGCTTCTCCCGCCCGTTCACTATAGCCAGTGTCCGATGTGGCCAGACCAAAGTCACATAGTTTGGCGAAACCACGGCCCCACAGAAAACCCCGCAAATCTACCAGAATATTATCCGGTTTCAGATCGCGGTGTATGAGCCGCGGCTCCAGACTGTGTATATGACCGACAGCTTCGAGCACCGAATAGAGTATTAAAAAAAACAATTAATTAATTACCGATAATATATAAACTATAGATTAATATAAGGATTGCTTTTAAAAGTTTTTAAAATTGATCTTATGGTGAGAGTATAGAAAATGGACGTGGGGGGTAATAAAAAAACACCCAAAAAATTTGATCTCAGGGGTGGGTGGATGGATGGGAACTCTGAATGTTTTAACTACCCCTAACCCCTCACCCACCCCCCTAATAGCAACCCTGATATTTTTTTTATAAATAGTACAGTACTTACCAATAATTGGTACTTTTTTAACGGCATAAACTCTATCAGTTTTTTTATCTATCACTTTATAAACATAACCAAATGCACCATTACTTATATAATTCAATTCCTGTTCAATAATTTCATCAATAATAGGCGGATCTATTAAATTTAAATAATAATTATTATTTTTTTAAAAATTAATAAAATCTAATTAATAATAATTTAATTAGTGATATATCAATTAATATAGTACCGTACATGTATTAGATATCAATATAAGATTATTTTTAATAAATAAATAAATAAAATTTAAATACTAAATACCATTGATGTTATTTTCAGCCATTGTTTTGTTTGATCTATATATAGATCTTAATTATTAAACAATTCAACTATATTTAAGCAAAAAAAATTTAATTAATTAATTAAACACTAATTTTTTATTAATAAAACTATAACTAACTTTTATGTAGTTATCTAACAAACAATAAAAGTAGTATTTTATTATATACAAACTTTTTTTGCGACTAACTGTGCGCTTAATAGTGAATACAGTATTATATATAACTTTTTAAAAACTTATAGATATGTCATATGTAGTGTTGGCAAAAAAGAGAAATTTATAAAATAATAGAGAAATTTCTAGAAAGTTTCTAAAAGAAATTTCTATCTATGGGATCCCCATGGTTAATTTTGTTATCTCGATATTTGCTATCATATACAATTCATTAAATATTATTATTATTATTATTTTAATTATTAATTAAAATAAAAAATTAATTAATTAAACTATATTAAACTATGATTTATATAATAAAATGGATAAAATTTTACAAAACTGATTATTATTAAATAATTATAATTATTTTATATATAGGTATCCCATTTTGTATAGTACTATACTGTATGATATTATATGTTATTAAAATACTGGTATTACAATAACTATATATATGGGGATCCGATAGAATAACATTAAAGTTAAATTTCTATAGAAATTTATTCATGAGAAAGTTTCTAGAAACTTTCTCACGGAAATTTATTAGAAACTTTCTATTTGCCCATCTCTAGTCATATGAGATGGATATATAATAGTTTAAAAAAATAAACTGCTAACTAAATAACTTTTATATCTTATGTTATTTACATAACTATATTTTAGACTGGATTTAAATTACATCATGTTTTACAATACTATATTATTATTGTTTAAATATAATTTTTCTAAAAAAAACATATACAGTATATCTATAATATAAATAATAATATTAATTATCATACAATTCCTATTAAAAATAATAGTATTAAATAACAGTCGATTTCATCCAAATATATTATTAATATTATTATAATAAAAGGTTTTTTATAAATTAAAACTCAGCAAAAAAATTATATTTTTTTTTTGGTTGACTACTCGTCAAGATATGACTACACTATGGCGTAGATGGTGTCCGTACTGACCGTTTCGGTCAGTGTCTTCAGTATTAGCAAATCAGGAAATTTTGTTACCACTTCTTTCATCTGCCATCTGATGTTTAATAGTCAGTTGTCAGTAGTAATCCGTTTGGTGTAAAAAAATAGTTTTAAATATATTAATAAAAGTAAAAATAAATTGTTTATATAATTGAAAAATAATTACAGATTTATTATATAATAATAATCTCTTAAAAAACATTTGTTTGTTTTGTTTATAATTAGTTATATACTGTATAATAATTAAATTTGTTTTCTCTCTAATATTTTAAGTTATTTTTTTATATATTTATTTATTTATTGGTTATTGATATCCATTGAAATCAACGGTCAATTATCTTTTATTTATTTATTTTTTTTTTGAAGACTAATAAAATAAACTAAATTAATGGTTAATAAAAAAAAGACAGAAACAAACAATCAATTTGACTAATAATAATAATAAGTTGCTTATGAATGACAACAACGACTACAACAACCGCTTCCACACTTCATCTCCTTAGCCACGAACTCAGCAACGGATTGGCCAGCAATGGGGTCGGCGATGGCGTTGACTGTTTGGTTTCATTCAGCTGTTGCTGTTGTTCGGCCAGTTTTCGTTGATTATCTTTGAAGGCTTCGACCGGATCGTCAAACTGTGAATAATGATCGACAACATGACGGACATCGTCGACACCTTCGCTGGCAATGGCCCGCAAAAATTGCGACAAATCATAGAGTGTCCGGTCATCGCTATTGCCGTCCCATTTCTTTAGTGTCAGACAATTAGGTTTATTCAGTTGACAAGCTTTCGAGTTCCAGTCGATATGAATGACTTTCGATAGATCCCGGTTCAGACAATTCAGGTCTTTCAAGTGGACACCGTTCTCGTAACGGGTCGAATCGCGAAACAATCGGTACATTATGTAGCCATTAGGGTCAAGACTATCAATCAGAGGAAAGGCAGTAAATCCTTGTTCGTGAGTATAGACAACAATCTCGAACTGGCCCGATGTGGCCAACTGATGGAGAAAATAGTCGACGTACGGACGCTTTTTGAAACGCCAACCCGTCCGATAGGTCCATTCCGGATGAACTAAGACACCGGTCATTTCCAATACCAATGTAAACGGCGGCTGATAGTAGGGAGCTTCCAGTGGCGGCGGTAACAGTAGATTACGGGTCGGTTCGCGAAGAACCTGTTCGTAATGTGTGAACGTATTCCACGACCGATAGGCGTACTGTAGAGGTAATGGCAGTCCAGTAAACTCATCGTCAATCGGATTGCCGTCGGCATCGATGGACGGCTTTCCCCATTCCATGAGTGCGTAAACACCGGATCCGCAGAACATACAAAACATTACAAGAAGTGTATACTTTGTGTACTTTTGTTGTTTGATTCGTTGTTTCTCTTTTTCGGCCTTTTCGTTATCCGTCTCTTTGTTTGGTTGTTGTTGTTGACCAAAATCACCGGCGATTGTCGACATCGACATCATCTTGTGAGTCGTTGTTGTTGTCATCATCGGCAACGGATCCGATTGTCTTAAACGACAAAACAACCAGTCATTTGTCTGGTTTGTGTTAAATAGTAAAGTGGTTGACGATTGAAGACATCTAGTAGAGGACGACAGTAAGCGATAATTTGGCCTCAAATGGTGACCAACAACACCAACAGCATTGCGGCCGACGACCAGTTTTGACAGACATTTGACGATAACCGACGAAGAAGAAGACGACGCCGACATCAGTCTCATTGTGGACAACATTGTCTGTCTGTCTGTCTGTCTGTCTCTCACATAGACATAGATGATAGTCGGCTGAAGACAATTGTATGGTAATCAACAACAATGACAAAATGAGATCAACTTATATCTTAAGAGACAATAATTGTCACCAAAAAAAACACAAAAGAAAAAACTTTTGAAACAATCAATGAATGAATTTCAACGATTCAAACGACTACTAAATAATTATTAGATTTTTTACATTAGATTTACAAACATTAAAATTGTCGCACATTTTTCACTGCTATTGCAATTGACTTTTGGATTTAATACAGTATTTTTTGTTTTGTTTGTTTGCGACAATCAATTACGTGTGTCTAACATATGTCTATCCCATTAATAATAAATTAATTTTTTGTTGTTGTAATAGTGTGACCAAATGTCCGGCTGATGTCCACACAAAAAAAATGCGGGACAATATCGGTGTACAGTAAGTGTTGAATAAATAAATTAAATTTAATTTTTTTTGTTATCAGGATTTTTTTTAACAACAAAAAAACCGATTTCTATTAAATTGATTAATTATTATTGTTTTTTTTAATTAATTAATTAATTAATAATTAACTAGTAGTCTAACATGTTATGTCTATCCCATTAATAATAAATTAATTTTTTTTTTGTAATAGTGTGACCAAATGTCCGGCTGATGTCCACACAAAAAAATACGGGACAATATCGTGTACCAGTAATTGTTGAATAATTAAATTAATTTTTTTTATGTTAAATATTATGTTCAATATTAATTATCAGTTTATTAAATATCTATTAATTGATTAGTTATTATTGTTTTTTAATTAATTTATTAATTAATTAGTATCTAGGTAAATTACACTTTAAATTACAGTGTATTTTTTATGGACACTTATATTTATAATTTAAAAAATAATAATTTCTAACTATTCATTTATATTATTTTTATGATATTTAAGTTAGAATTTTAAATAATTATAATAAACTTTTTAAATGATTAAATTTATACACAATTTTTTGTTTAGAAAAAATTATACAATATATGCCAAACTATTTGATAAATTTTTTTTATCAATTATTATATACTAACTATATTTTTACTAAAAATAATAAATATTTTTAGAAAATTGTGTTATTTAGCAATATTTTTATAGCAAGATAAAAAAAAATTTCAAAATTAACCATAAAATTTATTTAAACTAAATAAAAATACCACATATACATTATTATATACAATATAAACAATTATAATTATTTTTATTATTATAATTATTATTTTATAACTATTAATATAATATGATATATAAATTTTCAGATATTATATAATATAAAATTTGTTTTACCGGTAATATTTATTTTGTCAAATTATTTTTGATTTGATTTTATTATCTTTAATAACTTTATAATTTGCATATTAATAATAATGATAAACAAATTAACAAATTTTTTTACAACTTTAATAACAATAGTATATAAACTTTTTTTAATATTTATTTATTTATTTACTTAATTTAATTGTTAGTTTTTACTTTTCAATTTTGTACTCAAGATATATATATAAATAAATATATATATATATATACATAATATTTAATAATATTATACAAACAATAAGTGATTGAATTTTTATTAATTTTTTATGTTTCAATGATTTTCTGATTCAAATTCAGATTTATTTTTTTAGGGGAAGACTTTCGGGTATTTTTTTCCCCAAAATTTCTAATTGATTTGTCGTTTGATTGATTGATTGATCGACAGATTTTCTGGTCACTAACTTTCCCGGGCGGGCGGGCGGGGAGTCGGGAAATGATGGTCAGAGTTGGTCAGAGTTCCAGAGGCCACATTTGACCGGCGGGTTCATTGGCGAGCCTTTTGGACAATTAAAAGCTCTGGAAAACTGTTCGGTATTGACCAGAACTGGACATAAAAAAAATAATTTAAAAGACAATCTATCTATTATTGTTGTTTACCTCCATTGGCCCGAAATCGGCCGGGACTGTGATCATCGTGTAGTGATTTGCGGTGTCCCTCATCGGTAACCACTTCGCACCAGATCTGTGCGTACTGTATGAAAAACAGTTGATCCATACTGTAGTTGCTTAGTCCCGGCAATTGTGGTGGTGGTGATGGTGTCGAGGATGAAGTATGGCCACCACTACTACTACCACTGAACCGTTTGTATGCCGTATACGACTGTTGAAGACCAGCAAAATCGCATATATTTTCTTCGAGAGTATGATTGCCATTGAGCTAATTGATTGGATCAATTGAATCCAAATATAATTATTTTAAATATGAAAAGTCATAATAATAATAATAATTTACATATTCATCGGTGGTCTCAACCAAGTATTGCGAGTATTGATCAGCAAAACAGATAGCCTTTTCCATATAGACGTCAGTCATTTCGTCTGTCCACCAATTGGTACCGTTTTCATAGTTCATAAGTTTTCGGGAATCGGTTCCCATTGAGTGAGCAATTTCGTGGCCAATCACTATACCCAGTGTCGCAAAGTCTAAATAACTGTCAATTTTTTTCAACAAAAAAATACAAATATTTCAAAAAGTTAATTAAATTATTTTTTCAATCATAATATACAGTATATATATACAGTAATCATTAATAATTTTTACCTTGGTCTTTCCAAGCTAATCAATGGATATCTTAATATTCCTGGTGGCATTACTAGGATGACATAATAAATAAATATAAAAAAATTAATAAAAAAATATTAAAATTAGATTTTTAAAAAGTTATCAATTGTGGTGTAGTTTATTATTATAACTATTAATATTTATTTTTTTAAATAATAAATCAATCAATTATTACTAATAATAAATTATTTACTTATATTATTAGTAATGGGATCGTAATAGGCATTGGCTATCAGCGGCTGAATAATCCATTCCTCTTCAGGATTGACCAAACGATTCAGTTTCTGTAATTCAATCAGCATCTGATGCCTAGACATCTTGAATATATTGGTAATAAACGGATCGCCGGCGTCCAACTCGAGCCGGGCATACATACGATCGACTTCCGTATGGTTGGCCAACATTTTCGGTACACCTATTTTGCTTTCAATCGACTGGACCCGACTCTTGAACAGATCCCGTATGGCTACACTGTTGTCCAACTGTTTGAGCCAACTCTGGCCATCGATTATCTCAGTGAACGTACGTTTGATTTTGTCAATCAGATCCGTAATCTTATCGGCTTTCAGCTGAAGTTCTTGTTGTTTATGTTTCAAATACAGTACAATAGCCGGTATGTCCAGACCTTCGCTGACAACATGGACACACTCTTTCCAACGGGACAGGAATACACGGCTAGAGGCTGCCGACGGGTCGCCCGATTCGGTAGACATATCCGGCACTTTGGTTCTGAACTCGGAGTACAGTCGCCTGAACTGAGGTCCCAAATAAGGCATATAACGGGCCACAAAAGCCCAGCACAGATAGTTATCAATGGTTTTCAATGGAAAACTATCCAACAATTTGTTTAATTGTAACAAATAGTCTCTACTATTGATTAAAACAATATCGACATCGATGTCGGCTTCCGTTGAAATAATTGAAAACAATTTTTTCCATTTAATTGCTTTATATAAGTCTTCCATCTCATCGATGGTAACATTCAGAAACATTGTTTGAGCATTTGATCCATTATTGTTGTTGTTTAGCAAATGTACTAAATTTATTGATTCATCACTATTTGTCATTAATTCATCTAAATTTATATTAATTTCGGTGCCATTTGTTTCACTAGACGTCTCTTTAGTTATCTATTTTTAATAATTATTTTTTATAAATTTAATAAGTTTTTTTCAAAAAAATAAATAAAAATAATATATATTAAGATATAAATATATTTTTTAGAAATACTGTACAGTATATATTAGATAAATATGTATATATATTTATACAGTGTATATAATTTAAATAAATATATAATAAATAAATTGCAATATGCAAATGGTATCTGTATATATATATATTTAAATACATACATTTGATACATATGTAGTATTGATATATTTTTTGTTAAATATTTATGAAATAGTTTTAAAATATTTTGTTTTTTGTGTGAACATATATTGAAATATGTATTAATGATTTTGAATATATATATATTTTTTTTGGTGTAATATAATTAATTATTTATTGACAACTCTCATCATTAATTATTTAGTACAGTACTTTAAATATACAGCAAATATTTTAAATTTTTAAAAATTTTTATTGCTAAAAATATATATAGTATTTAATTTATATAATTTATATATAGTATAGCATAGTTTTTATGACTAAAAAACTACAGTATATGCAGTAATATACTGCATATATTTTTAAAATTTTTTTATATATTTAAAAATAGCTAAAAAAATATTCTTTATATATTTAATATATAAATTTTTAATGAAATGTATTTTTTAAAAAAAATAATTTACTTTCCAAAAGATTTTTATCATAGATTTTGCAATTTATATGATATACAATATACACTGTAATTATACATTAAAATTTATATATACTGTATATATTGTATATTTTTATCAATGCTATTTACTTTCTATATTTATACAATATTTAAATTAGTTTTTTTTGGTTGGTTATCTAATGTATTCAGTACTGTATATAACAAATCTAATTAAAAACAAATATATATACTGTATATATAAAGTAAATAGCATTTGGTATATACAAATTTACAGTAGCATTAAAATATGCAAAAATAAAAAAAATACTAACAAAAAAAATTATAATAAAATTGTGATTATTTTTAAAACTTTATTTCTCTCTCTCTCTCTCTCTCTCTCTCTCTCTTAACTCTCTCTCTCTCTCTCTCTCTCTCTCTCTCTCTCTCTCTCTCTTAACTCTCTCTCTCTTTAAAGAAAATAAATACTTAAGACTTACTTTAGACAGTTCCGACTCCAAGCGTACCATTTCAAGGATCTCATGTCTTAACGACTCTTCATCATTATTATTGTTGTCATCAGATATTAGGCTAATATTTCTGAATTTGGCAAACAATTTGACAATTTCTAACTGCAATTCAACGTAAGCGCCAATTTCGTCGCTATCTTCGACAAAAGTGTCGTCACTGCCACTCAACAGATATGTCGATTCGAGAACAGTTGAACCGTAGAGTAACTGAAGAAGAAGAAGAAGAAGAAAAAAATAAATAAATTTCAAAGACATTTGATGATCACTTGAGATGGTTAATAGATATCATACGTGTATTGCATATTGCGATTTGTTTGACTGATGCGGTTCAATAAAAAACTGGAAAAGCGGCTGAACTTGATATAGCAATAGTGAGGCCAAACGGTGCTCCAAATCAATGGACGAGGAGTTTGTCGATGACGGCGACAATAGTGGCCACTGGCCGCCAATCTGATCGAACACACGGAACAATGCAGCCATTGGCTGGTCATCGTCAGCGTCGTTGTTGTCGTCGTCGTCATCGTCTGACGAAGAATTGGTTGTCTCATTCATACACGAATTGTACAACAGTTTGATGGCCTGGACTGCATGGCCACCGCCGCCGCCGCTGTTGTCCTCACCATCGCTGATGAGATTATCTTCTGTTTGCAGATACGATCGCATCTCGAAGTACACTTCGTCCTGTATTTCTTGCAATAAATTTTTCAGATAATGATCATCCGGTACGGGATTGTTGCGTATAAAACTGCCGCACGAGTACTGGTAAAAGTCGTGGCACGGATCGACACTGGTATCCATGCGCTCGAGTATATGTGCGGCCACTTTTACACAGCCGCTGGTCAAACATAACTGATTTTTATTTATATTATTATTATTATTAGTGAAAATATGTATTTTTCCTTCAATTGACACTATAAGTAGTATTTAAGGTTTTGCACACAAACAACAAAAAATTAATAAAAAAAAATTTAAAGTTATTTTTATATGCAATAAGATATGCAAAAATATATTCAAATATTATTAAAAAAATATTTAAATTTAATATACAAACAGTATATATATATATATAGCTTACATAATATGAGTGTAATTGTGACCAAAATTAGTAAAACACTGAGTATTAGCAATAAAATCAAATATAATTTTTCGCTATTTGATTGACTACTCCACCACCTAATGAATTGATTGATTGATTGAATGAATGCATAGAAAATAATGGGGAAAAAACAGTCAATAATTAGCATACAAGTGCCATAATCGGTTGGGAAGGGGGGTTAATACAGGTGTTTCAACCCCTCTTGTTTTTATCGGATCAACAATACCTGAGACAACAATAGTTCCGTGAGACGACTTCTTCGGGCCACAGATTGCCTGCATTGACGACGACAACAGTAGTCGGTGTCTTGTGGTTGTTGTCTGCTGTTGTCGTCTCGTCGATGGACGTCCTCTTCATATCACTCCATTAGCAGGTCGTTCATCACTAACAACAACAACAATAACAACAACAACGACAACGACAAGATATATAAAAAGCGCACATCTTGTATAACATTATCACTTATATATATATTTCAATAACAAAAAAAGCAAATATTATTTTATTTTATCAAAAATATATATATATTTTTAATATTATACTGCAATTTGTTGTTATTATAACTGTTTAATAGCACTCTTCACTCTATTTCCTCATTAAAACTAATAGTAATAATAATAATAACAAAATAATAAAAACCTTTGCATCAAATTTCTAATACAAATACACAAACACTTTGCTTATATCAAGTCTGGATAAAGAGAGAGAGAGAGAAATAACGATTTATATGATGTGTTAATTTCATTGAACAGAGAGAGAGAGAGAGAGAGAGAGAGAGAGAGAGAGAGAGAGAGAGAGAGAGAGAGAGAGAGAGAGAGAGAGTTAAGAGAGAGAGAGATAGCGCATGACTTACTGATGCTGTGATGATATTAAGTAAACATTATTTTTATATTATTATTATTATTACAAAAATGTTTTTGCAAATTATCTAAAAATATATTAATTGCAAATAATATTAACCAGTAATGTATTATAGATTTGCATTACAGTATCTATAATAATAATAATTAATTTTAATTAATTTTTAAAAATTTTGTTTGTAATATATGTTTATTCTCAAACTTTTATATATTATAATCAGTTAATTTTATTTATAGATGTTAATTATTAAATATTTATATTAAGTTTGAGTTTGAGTTTTTATTTGATAAGCTTTTATTAAAAAAAAATAATCAATTGTTTGCATGTTTGTGCTAAAATTTTAAAATTGTGACATTATAAAAAAAATTTAGTTTAATAGAAAATATCATTATTTAAAAAATATTAATTTTTTGTTTGAAGTTTGAATAGACTTTCTTTTTGTAGAAATTTTTATGATTATCCTTATGATGAAAAAAAAGTTACACAATTTTAATGCAATTTTTTTTAGACAATAAGCTTATAATGATTATATGAATCCACACCTACTTTAAATACAATTGAATTTTTTTTTGTTTATTATGTTATATTATGAGCAAAAATAATAATAATAAGATTTTTTTTAAAAATAAATAATTAGTAGAAATTATTTCATAATAGTTTTCCTGTATATATATATATATACACAATATTACAATATTCATTAAAAATATTTTTTTATAATTAAAAAATTGTTTGTTATTATTATTATTTTTTTTGTTAAAAACTACTAGATAAAAATTTAATAAATTATTATCATTATATACATATAATATTAAATTTATATATGACATAAATTTTTAAAATTACAGAGTAATCAAAAAATTATATTTTGTATATAAAAAAAATTGTATATTTTTTAAGAGCCTTGAATACTATAAATTATTATTATGATTATATTTATGTCTATGCTTTTTTAGTAATTTAATTTAATCAGAATATTTTTATTATATTAATTTAATAATAATAATAATATAATAATAAAAAAAAATTTATTATCAAATAAGCAATTATATTGTACTTAATTTTTATCTCTCTTTCTGTTTATTTGAAGATTTTTAAAAAAATATTAAATTATACTGTATTATGTTATTTTATTAAATTCAATTTAAATAACAAATTTATATTACTGTATATAAATTATACAGTATGTTAAATATATATATGTAAATCAAAATTAATACTAATTTAATTATATAATATTTTATTTCATACATATTATATATATATATATTTATATTGTATATAATAACAGCTTTGTCAGGCCTCAAAACATTTTTCATAATAATATTATTAAATATTAATAATAATAACTATTATTATTTATTATATTGAAGGTTATAAACTAATTAAATATTATTTTTTATTTGTTTCTCATTAAAGTCATTGTTTTATTTTCTAAAAAATGCTAATTATGTAATTTTTTTTATTATTGTTTGTTTATGATAATAATAATAATAATAATCATCATCATAATTATTATTATAAAATTTGATAATCTAGACAAACAAAATACAAATATTATGTTTTAATTATGATTTATACAAAAAAAATGTTATCATAATATTTATTTATTTAAAAAAAATATTAAAAATTTATTAATAAATAAAACAAACAACATTTTACTTTTTTTGTTTGTTTGTTTGTTTGACAATGTAAATAATTTATATTTATTTAATTAATTAAATAATATTACATCAAAAAATATATTTATATATAATTATTAATCATTTTTAAATATCTGTATAAAATAATTATTTTTTTATTAATTAACTATAGAGTTAATTAAATATATATAAATTTAATAAAAAATAAATGAATTTAATAATGTTTTTTTAAATTGATTTTTTCATTTGTTTTTTTGGCAATGAAATTGATGAAAATATTACAACATATGGATTAATGATACAAATAATAATAATAATAATAATAATAATGAAAAAATACATAATTTTTAAATATATTTTATATAAGGCAGTTATTACAATAATAATAATAATAATAATAATAATAATAATAATAATCAAAAGATAATAATCAAACAAAATATTATGTTATTAAATATAAAATATATATATTTATATAACACCGGGTAATAAAATTCACCCAAAATGTTGAGTCTATTTTAAATATTTATTTGAGTAAAAAATTTATTTAAAAAAATTAAAGTTGATTTATTAATAGTTATTAATTGTCATTTTTATGGCCAACTATTTTTTTAATGGTTATATGTTTTATGGTATATATAAATTATGCTTAAATATTATTATTATTATTCATTATGTAAGTAAACATTTGGCACAATAGTATATATCAATTAATTTTTGTATAATATATTTAAATACAATTTTTAAAATAATAATTATATTAGATATGATTGATTGATTGAGTAGATTAGCAAAAAAATGGATTTAAATATATATATAAATATACGTTATATAAAATATAAATTTATAATATGTATATGTGTGTATATGCATATATCTAATATATATATATAAATTTATATAAAAAAATAATATTGAATTAAAAAATTATCATTATTATGATAATAATTATTATTATGATAATAATTATTATTATAATATTTTAATTAATTTAATTAATTAATTAATTAATTAGATATTTAAACAAAAAAAATAATGAGTTTATTTTGGTTTACGATAATATCTGAGTACGAGATAACCCATCAGTCGAAATGTTATCAAAAATATTATTAATACTAATGTATTGAACCAAATGGGCAACGGCTCTGACCCGTCATTCATAATATCCAATTGAGCCGATAGTTCATCGTATGGTATGGTCGCCGCCGCACTGGTTGTCGTCCCAGTGATCAGACTATCACCGATGGTCGCCACCGCCGAGTCCGTAGCGTTCAGTTTGCACGACAAGAATTTAGACATCTTTGTTGAACATCTGAATACAACAACAAAAAAAGACAATAAATTTCCTGGTTTTTTAATTTCGGGTAATAATTAGCGGGTATTATTAAACACGTACGGTATGGGTAGTCCGCTAAAAAATTCGCTCATCTGCATGTTTAGTAAGGCATAGTAGACTATTGAACAGTAGCGCATCCACGACAACCAGCCGGGCATTGTTGCCGAATAATAGCCGGCAAACAGCATTGTCGACAGCGAGTACAGTGCCGACAGGGTTACCGAAACTTCCAGATCGTTACACAGGGCACCGATAAACAGGCCGACACTCTGGGCACAGACAGTCGATAGTATCAAGAATGCCCACAACGACAGAAAGGTAGTAATGTTGGACCAGCCGAGCATCGGATAGCTGATGATGAAGAATACTGAGGGCAGTGTTATGGTTAGGGGTAGTTCGCCAATCATTTTGGCGATATAGTATGATGATAGTCGATAGGCGCCCGACGACCGTTCCTTATTGATAACGTCTCGTTCGGCTGGAAACGATATGAGAGCACCGAACAGTGCAAACAGCATCCAGTAGGTGGTGGCTAATTGTATTGATTGAAGAGATTGATTGGTGTTAAATGATATATCAATAAAAAGGTAATCATTTGATTTGATTCAACAATAAAAAAACTTACTGAAGAACATCCAACCCCTGACATCGTCCAGTGTGTCCTCTGTGCGGACCACTTGAAACCAGATAAGTCCGGCCACCAGTGCCAAGGCTATCGTCTGAATCCAATTGAGTTTAGAAAGCATCCGATGGCGAGCCTCATAGAAGTTGCGTTTTGTCAACACTCGCAACTGTGTCCAGAAACTGGTCGGCCACTTTTGGTCACTGCGGCCATTTTTGGTTGTTGCATAGTAGACACTATTAGCGCATAGATTATCGTCAGCCGCAGCCGCACCGCCGTACGAACAGTTGGACGAAAAAGTGGATGACGAACTGCGGTCCGTTTGAGACCACGACGACCGACCAGAATCGTAGTCTTTATGGTCGTCAGTGTCGTGGATGGTGACCACCACATGCATATTGTCGTCGTTTGGCGACTGTTTCAATGTCTGCGACGGCGAATGATTGTCGTCGTTATCGTCGACATGATGGTAATGATGATGATAGTCATCGGAGGCGTCCGAATGATGAAAAGCCGGCGAACGGTCACGACTTTTCACGACTACAACCATAGCGTCTTCTTCTTCTTCTTCATCGACTTCTTGACGATAGGAACTGATTTGACGTCTAATATGACGACTGATATGATTAGGACGACAGTCGTCGTCATCGGACTCTTCCTCGTCTGACGGAGATTTGGGCAGTGCTTTGGCCGCTTCGATGATCTTCTCCTGGAGGCCGGGATTCTTGACTTTTTCCATTACAAAATCCGCGGGATTGTAGTGAGCAGTAATCTCCAGACCGATACCGCTGAAGAACGGTACCACCGATCGGACGTCACCGAAATAGGCCGACCGACCCGAACACAGTAGCAACAGTTTGTCAATCATGTAGAACATCTGCGACGATGGCTGATGAAGAGTAGCCACAATTGTCTTCTTTTCTTTGACGGCATAGTCTTTCAGTGTCTGCATCAGACTGTGGGCAGTACTCGAGTCCAGACCCGATGTCGGCTCCTATTTGTTTGTTATGGATGTGATATTTAAAAAAAAAATGTTTTTAATAATTATCGGTAATTAAATACTAAATCAAGACTCACGTCAATCAATAGTATATTGGGATTTGTCAACAGTTCGCAGGCAATGTTAGCCCTTTTTTTCTCGCCTCCCGATAGACCTCTTTTGATAATATCGCCGATTACTGGTTATTTTATTTTGGAAAAAAATAATACATTTTTTTAATATAATTGTTTGTATATTTTTTTGGATGATATTAATCCAGTCATGGGTGCTGTCATTGTTATTGGKAATGGGTGGGGTGGGGTGGGGTGTGGGTGTTAGGTGTCAAATGAAATAAATCACTTACTGGTGTCCTGACAGTGCCTCAGGTCAAGTATGTCGATAATCTTTTCTACGTGACTGAGCTTTTCATTGTAGTTGATTGAATCGGGTAGTCTAAGCTGAGCAGTATACTAAAAATAAAAATTTAAAAAAATTAAAAAAAATAATTTATATTTTTTTATATTGAAAATTATTTTTATTTCAAAAAAATTAATTTAATTTTTTTTGCTGTTTATTTTGTAAATAATTAGTTGTATTATATAAAACGTTTGAGATATAATGTATTTTTTTAGGAAAAAAAGATTTTAAATATATATATATATATATTTATTAATTAATTTTGTTTATTTAAATTACATATGATATGATAAGTTTTAAATTATTATTATTATTTAAAAATCTAATTAATTAATTAATGTGCTTATTAATTATGATTATAATTATTTATGTGAATATTATATATTATATCTTTTTTAATTAGTGTATTTTTTAAATTTAATTTTTATATTATGAGTTTAGTTTATTATTAAGTTGTTATATAATTAACAATACAATTGTATTATAATATTTTTTCCTTCAAATTTTACCCAATAATGCCAAATATGTGAATAATAATTCACAACAAAATCATTAAAACAATTAATTGTCGATTTTATTAAACAAATAATTTTAGCAAATAATGTAAAATTATTTGATGGCATATTTATATTTATACAGTATTTACAGTGTTTGGTAATAATAATAATAATAATAATAATAATAATAATAAAATTATTTATTTATAAAGCTTCTCATGTGATATATACACACACACACAAAAAAAACTAAATTATTTCAAATAAACAAATTCACAATTTTTTTTGTTGGTTATCTATTAATTTGTTGAAATATTTGAAAACATTTTATCAATTAATCTCATCTTTCAATTCAAAAGATTGTCAGTAATGAGTACTTTAATAACGATAATAATAATAATAAACAGGAATAAGATTTTTGTATTTTGTGGTTAAATATTATTTTGTTTTATTTTTGAAATTTTTTTTTATTATCTGAATACTAATTTTTTATGTAATTATATTTCTATATTAGCCATATATATATATATATATATGCAATATATACTGTATATTAATATTAATATATATTTTATATATAAGGATTAAAACGATTTTCCATAAAAGCATATAAAAGCATAAAATTATTTTTATTTTATTTTTTTTTTTGAAAGTGAAAATAAATAAAATATGATTTTAGCCTAAATACCAGTGCGCAGTGTATAAGCAAAAAAAAACTTTTTCAACAACAAAATAAAATATTTATTTTTTATTTATTTCATGATTTCTGTTTCAAAGTGAAAGTTGATTTGACACTTGTTTTCATAGGTTTAGGGGGGAAAAAGTGAACCCAAAAAAATCAAAAAATCATATCTGAATTTAGCAATGAATCCATGAGTTTATTATATACAACAACAACAACAACAAAGTTATAAACAGTGTATATAATAGTAAAAGTAATAATTATTATTTCTAAGTTAGTATTTAAAAGTTTTTTTTTCAAAAAAAAACAACATTATTTTATAATTTTTCAATTTTAATAAATTTAAGCTTAATATTTATTTTTGAAAAACAAAAAATTAACTATATAAAATATATATATATAAGTACTAAAATATGCTCATAAGTTGTTATAATTTGACAGTTTAATAGAAATGTATTTATTTTTAAAAATACTAAAATAAATATTATTATGAAAACAGTATATATAAGTTATATACACTGTATATAAATTTATATACAATTTATATAATATATATATATTCTGTAAATTCAATAAATTCACAAAATATGAGGTGATTATTGTAAATAACTTTTGGATTTTTTTTTTGGTAGTTCAATGAAACTTTGTCTCCGAAAAAAAAACATTTATTTATGAATTGAAAAATTATGTTCACTGAAAAAAAAGTTCAAAACAAATCTATCAGAAAAAAAATTGAATCCAAAAAACAAATCACACAAATAAACAAACATTTTGTATTAAAAAAAAAATCTAATATTTTTTTTTAAATAAACAAATATTTAAAAATAAATTTGGATTATAATTATTTGATCGGAAATTGTTACAAAAAATAATATTAATTTTTTTCTGAATTATTTAATAAATATAAATATAATGTAAAACAATTGAATAAAACTGGATTTTTTTCTGAGTTTATTTGTTTGTAGTTTTCAAATCAGTATTTGTCAACAACAACAACAAAACAACAACAAAAAATAAAATCACTAAAAAAATTATGTCAAATTATATACTAATCTGGAAAAAAATCGTTGAAAAAATACTGTTTAAAAATTATTAATCTTAAATTAATCTATTAAAAAACTAAATTACACCATATTTTTTGTTTGTGTATATAAAATAAATACACTGTATATATATATTATATATATATTTATATATAAATTATATATATATGTGTTTCAAAACACCTTTTTCTAGAGGAGAAACACATTAGACTTGAAAAAGAGGTTACACTTTCCCTCTCTCTCTCTTTAAAAAAACTTTTTTTGTTGTAATATTTAATATAAATATTGGGAACAAACTAAACAAAATTAGTTCACTAACTATTAATTCCCACTTTCTCTCTCTCTCTCTCTCWCTCTCTCTCTCTCTCTCTCTCTCTCTCTCTCTCTCTCTACTATTAGTTTCGCAATTGAAAATATATACTGAAATATATATATATAACTTTATACCTGAATTTTTTTTTATAACATATGTAATAGTAATACTAACAAAAAATGTATAATAAATTATTATATCTAAAAATGTTAATTATATTACAATAATAAATATTTTTCCCGATTTTTTTTTATAATTTAATGACAATTTTATATAATAATAATAATATTATTCACACGAAATTATTGCAGTAAATATTGTTTTTATTTTATTAACTAATAATAAAAAAAATACTAATGATAATTAAAACTAATAGATTATATATTATACTAGTATTTAATAAATAAAAGGAAATTATTTTGTAATTATTGTATGCAGAAAAAAATAAATTTTTAAAAATAAATAAATAAATAAACTATCAATTAGTTCATTAAATTTTTCAATACATAAATACAGATAAACAAAAATTTTAGAGAAAAAAAAGTTTTCCCAACAAAAAAAATAATTTATAGAAAAAAAAAGATTTTTTTTTAAATAAAAAAAAGTGAAAAAACAATTTCAACAAAAAAAACAAAACATAAAAATGACTTACAATTAGGGTTTGTCTGAGTGTAAGACTGGGAAAGAAGATGTCCTGTTGTAAGACATAACAGATTTTACGTCTCAGCTGTTTGTTAATCGCTTCTCCATTCAATGTAATACAACCGCACTGGGGTTTCAGTCGGCCGCTCAGTGTACTCAACAATGTAGTCTTGCCGCTACCCGACGGTCCCATAACGGCCAACAGCTGTCCCGGTTTGGCGTAGCCGCTGATGTCACGCAATATGGGCCGCTCTTGCGGTGACTTAGACGGTGATGACGACGACGACGAGGTGGAAGAGGAGGCGTTGTTCATTGATTTTGATTCAATAGAAACCGATATGTTTTGGAAAACTAATTCAATGGGCCGTTGGCTATAGCTATGGGTGGATCCGCTGTGATTATGACTGACCGGACACTGATCGGCTGCGGCGGCGCCGCCGGTATGGCTATGGGTGCTATGATTTCGTCGATGATTATGATGGTGATGATGATGATGATGATGACCATGAGTTCGATGGTGACTATGAGGCGACAGTGGCGGCGGATTAGTAGAGGAGGGATGTGTAGGAGTAGTAGTAGTAGTAGTATTATGTAGAGGAATGTGGTGCTCAAGAATATGGATCTTGGCGTCCGAGTCTTCATCTTCGGGCTTCATATTGTTGTGGTGGTCGTCGTCGTTGTCGTCGTACGGCTGATGATGAGAGACTGTCGTACAGCACTTGGAGCGACTGTTTTGTGACCTAAAAGTGATATTTAATTTTTTTTTAATTTTTGAAGGGAACGACAATCAGTAAGTTTTTCTGGTTTTTATATATTTAATATATATATATATATACTGTATATATATATATAACTAATATATCACTAAATACTAAGTAAATTACTAGTAAATGCTTAACTACTATCACTAATATACATATGTATTATTAATAATAATACTACTACATTAAAGTGTTTCCAACACTAAAGTATTTCAAATATATTACAAGTATTTAGTACTAAACTACTGTACTATTAACTCCAAGTGCTCACTCAATGCCAGTTCCTAAAGGCTCTCTGGCAATGAAGTGGACTTTGGCTTTCTATTTATATATACATATAAAGATAGAGATATATATATATATATATATATATATATATATATATATATTTATACAGCAATTTTTGGGCAACAAATTGTGGCCGAAGAAAAAAGCCCGTCTCCTCCTAAATGTGTACAACAATGACAATACATTTGTGTGTGTGTGTGTGTAGTTGTGTGAGTCAATACAATGGTTATGACCTAAATAGCGAAATATAGCCAAACAAATGCATCTTTTGGTTTTATATGGTGTGTGTGT